CTTGTCTGTTTTGAAATGGTAGACTTGTGCCCTTTGTGCCTCCAATGTATAATAGAATAATGTTAATGTGCTGAATTTTTGTTCGAGAATGTCCTTTGAAATGTAACTCACTAATTGAGGTTTGTGGACCCAATAGGCAAGCGTGTGACTAGTGGCATTCACAAATGGTTGTTTGTTTTTCTTAAATCTATCACTGATATTTGCTTCAGTTTCTTGTATGTCGGCTCCTCTTAGAAACTTCAAATCAGATCCCTTAAAATTGTCTAAAAGAAGGAAAATCGCTTTAGTAAAGTCAAGGCTCATTCCTCCCTCAACAAGACCAAGCATTAAAACTTTGCAAAAAGTTAAAGAGTCCCACAAATGATAATTTTCAAAATAAATCCTCTCGGAGTTTTTTTCTATTGTAGATTGCATTGTATTATTTACTTCTTTTGAGGATTGAGTTGTGGTGTTGTTCCTTTCTGTTGCGGTTTGGCTTTCATTGTTTTGAGTTGTGTTGAAGAGAAATATTAAAAAAGCGATGAATGCAATAAACAAAATCAAATAGTCTGTTAAGGTCATTTTTTACATATTCTCCCATAAAAAATTGTTAGAACAAAGCACATCCTCCATATTAAGACAAAATCTAGCACATTTATCATGCAATTTTATTGCAGTCTGTGAGTGAAGTAAATATGATAAATTGCCACTCTCTATACGTTAGAATTCAACGTCGTGGACTCTTGCTCAGTTCCAGAGGATTGTGAAACTTGGAATTATTGCTTCCTGTGTGTCAAAACACCATAATCCAAGTCATAATTGTGGTTGTTAAAAGGGAGGGTGGTATGTGGATCGGAAGTTCAAATACTCTAATGAACAATCATAAACGACAAAATTTCGAAAATAATATCATCATGAAAAAGGTTAAATACTGTACAAGCTCCTTCCTAGTTCGTGTTGGTGTTTTTTAATAATGTATCGGGTGAGATTTCACTTACTGTAGTCGTTGGATTATCTACACACGAGGTATACATTTGAATTTCCAACATTTAAACCCCACCAACTCCAAAACTTGCTTGAAATTCCGCTCACTCTTCCATTAAGATTCAAAATTAAGGAGTAGATTAGTAGCCGATTAAGGTCACCATCTACAGCTCAAATATAAAGCTGATTGGAAACCAGGTAACAATACTCCATATCGAAAAAATGTTCAAATTCAACACCATCTATCTTTTAGTTGTTGTGGTAACTCTTTTCATCGCTTTGATAAACAACAATTCTCATGTCAATGCTCTTCAGTTGCAAACAAGAGCAAATTCCACATGTCAAGTTATGATTAACGGAGCAGAAGTTAATATTGCATCCATCGATAGACCAAAAGGATATTTTATCATTGCAAGATCTGATCATAATATCAAGTTCCTTCTGTAAGTTGTTTCGTTATGTGACATTTGCTTAATGTGTGAAAATGTAGTAATCTTTGTAATGCTTCTCCTAATCCATATTACTGGAATTCACTTTGTAAATTCCCAGCTAAATCTGCTGGATATCAATTCGCTTTTGAATATAATCTTTGTTATTCACTTTCAACTCCAGAAAATCCAAAAGTTTCTTACAATAGTGAAACTACAACAGTTACCATTACTCATCCTCCAAGTGTTATCAACAGAGATGGAGTTTCAAGACAAATGGAAGTTAGCTTAGTGTGTGATAGAAATTCAAGTTTGTGGCCAGAATTGGATTTCGAAGGAGAACAAAACAGATATGGAGTTGTTGTCTATCGTTTCTCTGGAAAGACAAGTTATATTTGTCATTAATGAATCCTTTGCTGATAAAGATCTTTCAATTTGTTAGATTATTGACTTTTCTAATTGTTGGTTTACTTTTCGTATTATCCATGTTGGAAAATTCACCATTAGTGAATTTTATTGATGGTTTGATGATGATCATATAGATATTTACCTTAATGATCGGAAGTGAATTTGCTGGTGATCTTTATCATAAACGCTATTCCAAAATGATGATGAGTTCAGTGATGATGTAGAGGAGTGGAAAGTGAGTAGAGAGCAATCATTTTGTTTCTACATTGCTGTTGTTGATTTTGTAGCAGTTGTTTATTGCTTCCCAAGGAAAAAATTGATCAATTATGGCTTAATTTTTGATTTTGCATGACCAATTTGATTGTAAGAAATATCAAGTGATGTTAATTGTTTCATTTCACTTATGAATTTGGCTCCTTCATTATCAATTTCATTGCTACTAATATTAAGTAATGTTAATTGTTTCATTTCACTTATGAATTTGGCTCCTTCATCACCAATTTGATTGTTAGAAATATCAAGTGATGTTAATTGTTTCATTTCACTTATGAATTTGGCCCCTTCATCATCAATTTCATTGCTACTAATATTAAGTAATGTTAATTGTTTCATTTCACTTATGAATTTGGCTCCCTCAACACCAATTTCATTGCTACTAATATTAAGTAATGTTAATTGTTTCATTTCACTTATGAATTTGGCCCCTTCAACACCAATTTGATTGCTAGAAATTTTAATTGATGTTAATTGTTTCATTTCAGTTATGAATTTGGCTCCTTCAATACCAATTTGATTGTTAGAAATATCAAGTGATGTTAATTGTTTCATTTCAGTTATCGATTTAGCTCCTTCATCACCAATTCGATTGCAACCTATATTAAGTGATGTTAATTGTTTCATTTCACTTATGAATTTGGTGTTTTCTATGTCACCAAGCAACCAACCAGAAAAATTAAGATTAACAATACTATTCACGAATTGACTTTTTCTGAATAGTTCAATTCTTTTCTCTGTAAACTTTTTTTTAAATTCAATTACAAGTTTTGAACGTTCCTTGATCACATTAAAGAATTGTTTTGAAATTAAAGAACAATTATTCAAAATAAACCATGAATCATCAATCATGGAAATTATTTCAAAGCAAACATCATCCGAAAATATTTCAATCTTCATCTCCATATTGTTATGATTGATCACAATTATTAATATTAATATTAGTATTCTTATATATTTGATATAGTTTGTTGTAACTTGTTTGTTCTTTGCTTTTCGACTTGACACCTTCTTGATATTTGCTTTTAAATATTTTTTTTGGTTCTAAACTAGAGAAGGAAATGATTCGTGATAATTTTTCTGGATCGCTGACTTCAAATGATTGGTTAGGTGATACAATATCCAACCATTATCTGTGGATATGAAGTAATATTTCAGATCTTTGTTGAGGACTCAGCATTTTTCCTCAGTGAATCTGTAGTTTCACTCTTGAGAGCCTTATTTATCATTGCTCATGCGAAGAGGAGCTTTGAACAATAGGAGAGGTAGAAATGACAAACCTACAGACAGATGCCATCCTTTCCACGTGACATATATCAACTGGAGATGAAAGCACTTGTGTGTCAAGACACCATAATCTAAATCTTAATTCTGAGCTAACCACCCCTTTCAATTGTTTTGAACACTGAGTAATAATTACTGGAAATAATATATAGCTGAATTGGTCAAAATTTAAAAAAGATTCAACACTGCTTCCCATTGAATTTTCAAAACAATTATATCCAATATAAACATGTCAATCCGTCCTACCAAAGATGGAGATCAAGTTGATATCAATTCACATACTGGTTAGCCGTTCTTGTTCAATTACCAAATTATTTCACATGATTCAAAAAACATCAGTGATTAAAATTTACCTGTAGTTCTGACAGAGGCAAATTAGTCAACAAGAATGTCAAATGTCTACATCATTTCATTCACAAAAAAATATCAACAAAATAGCAACATCAAAAACACATCAAAATGGGTAACGGTATTTCTAGAGACGAAATGAAACAGCTTCAAGAGCAAACTAAAAATCGTTTGACCAAGAAGGACATTCAACGTTATCACAAATTCTGGCATGAGCTCTACCCAAGTGGTGACATGACAAGAGAAGGTTTCAGTAAATTTGCACAAATTGCTCTTCCAAGTGCTCCTCCAGATGCTGATGTTGAATACTTGTTCAGAGCCATGGATGCTAACAAGGATGGTACTATTACTGTAAGTGTGTTATATATTTTGAAATAGTAGTGGTTTTTACGCTAATTGATGATGATGATTTTGATATTATTATTTGTGTGTATGATGTGTTATAATTTCTTGTTATTGTTGATGTAAATTTGATATGATTTGATATATGATCATGGAATATTTCGTTATTATGTTGTTATGAATTGTTTAAAATTATTAATTGGAATGTTAATGATGCAATACGTAATTTTACATAACGATCATCATGATGAACTTCTACACTAATTATTACCATTGCTACCACTTGAATATTTTGCATTGATTGTATATATATGAATATTTATAATCGTTTAATAATAACACATTGATCAAACTCTTCCGAAAACACTCTACAATTCAGTTCAAAGAATTCCTCTTCTTCCAATCTATCACTGCTCCAACAACACAACCTCTTCAATTCCATGAATTAATTGATTTGGCCTTTGATATGTACGATGAAGACAATGATGGGTATGTTTTTACATCTATTTAACTAATTAATCAATACAATATATATTATTAATATTATCATCATCAATTCATCATCATCAAAATACAACAACAATTATATATAGCTTTGTAACTGCCGAAGAAATGAGAGACAGTTTAAGGAACATGTTCAAGGCTAAGGGCATGAATGTAAACTCTTCAGAAATTGAGGGAACCATCAATACTCGTATTGAAAATCTGCTCAAGATTGCCGATAGTAATGGTGATGGAAAACTCACCCGAGATGAAATTGTTAAGGCTTGCCAAAAAGATCCATCTCTCTTGGTCTTGTTCTAATTTTTTTTTAAAAACAAACTTGTAAAATCATGAATAAATTAAATAATTTCTCTTTTTGGATTATTTAATATTTATGGAAATTTGTAAATTCATTGTAAACTCAAAACCATTTGGAATGAAAAATTAAATTTTTATTAATAAATTACGACTATTCCAACAATTATTTAACGAACTTAGTCTTTCTCATATTTCTCACAATATTCGAAATAGGATAAACTCTCTCAACAGTGCAAGTCTTGGTTGTTGCCTTCATTTGAATTGCAAAACTCTTAAAGTTGAATTTTGCATCACACAACAAGTAGAATTCAACTTTACAATAGTCAGTTTCCAATACTTTCATTGGAACTCGTTCCTTCTTTTGACTTTCATAATCAAAGATCAATTCAGATAATTCATAACTATTCTCTGCACTCAATGATTTACCTCTTCCAGTAACGAACGTGGTCAATTGACCTTCTTTTAATTTGATTCCAGCAAAATATTGTTCCTTATTTAGGGTATCGCTACATTCGTCAAAGAAATCAGTGGAGAGATTTAAATTTTGATTAGTTTGGAATTCTTCTCTTGTTTTCACAACGAGATCGGTGGTTACATAGATTGCCTTGAGGGATTTAGTTCCACCATTCGTATCTTGGTATGAGATTCGAATAGTGAGTGGATAAGGCAAACTATCTGGAGGTCTAATCATGGCTCTAGCAGAGGTTGGACATGGATCTTCACTATTAGTTCTAATTAACGAATTGATGTGGTAATAGGACGAAACTTCACCTGGTTTCAAACTTAATGTCAATCCCCAAATATATTTACCATAATAATCGCTCTTCTCAAAGACAACCTCTTCAGAAAATGGAGCAACTCTTCTGGCAACGAGATCAGGTTCCCAATATCCAACTTGAGTATCCTCCATGGCAATCCATTCCTCTTTAGAATTAAGATATTCGACCTTAAACTTTTCAAGGGTGATTGCTTGAGAGGAAGAATTTCCAAATGCTAAATTCTGAATTTTGAATTGAGTACTTCCAACAGATTGCTTAATTTCATAAATGGATGATCTGATGGTTGGATCCAGTGAGGTAAAACTTGGATGAAGATAGAAACCAACTACTGAACTACCTTCATCAGGATAGTTGACAATTAAGGAAGGATCATTGTTAACTTGTTGTAAAGCAGTTTTTCCTTCATCGATTGGTTTGTAATTCTCCTTGATATGGTCTTCATAATACTTGGCAAGTCCATCAAAATCATTTGGTCTGTCACTTTCCAATTGACTTCCCAAGGGAACTAAAGATCCTGATTTGGTTTTTGCTGCAACAAATGGACCATATCCATACATTCTCAAGGTACCAAATAAAATTGGTTTCTTTGATAAAAACTTCCATCCACTAACCTCAATTACACCCTCAGTTGACTCGAGTGAAAATCTATTCAAATGAGGATAAGCTTTCGTTCCTTTAATAATTCCAAATGAAATCCATTTTCCGTGTTCTGTTGCCTTATAAAAGACTTCAATGTTATTACAAAAAGCAACTTGATCAGAATCTGTATAGAGAGCATGAGTAAAATATTCCAAGTATTTGAATTGTTGAGCTTGTTTGTACTCGAAAATCATAACTCCACCAGTTGACAAGGCACCATACTGAGCAGATTCGTCCAATAAACCCTCCAATGTATTATCAGCTCTATTGGCAGTATCTTCAGGAACCATTAAAAGATCGCCATTGACTTTGAAAATATCTGGAACAAGAACATTGACCTCACCTGTTTTTTGAACTATTGTGGTAGTGGAGGTAGAGGAAGAGGTGGTGCTACTACTTGAACTTGGTTTAACTTGTTCCACAATTGGTTTTTCTTGATTGGTGGTTGAGGAATTTTTGTCAACCTTGGAATTTGGTTTGCTAGTGGTCTTGTTTGATTGCTTACTACTTGGTGTAACTGAAGAAGAACCTTGAGACTTAACAGCACCTTTTTTATCCTCAGTTGATTGACTTGGAATTGAGTTGACTTTAGTGTCAGCACCAACCTTTGGTTTTTTTTCCTTAATAGGAGGATTGGCTAAACCACTATTGGCATTAATTGGAACATATGGAGCATAACCAAATAATCTGAGCATTCCAAAGAAGATTCTGCTGTATCTATTCTTGAAAAATCTCCAATATTTGGCCTTGACAGGTTTTTCAAATGGAATTGACATGATGGCAGGTTGTGGAATAATTTCCTTTCCATCAATGGTTCTCAAAAGTGTCCATTCATCAGACTCATTCACCTTGTATTGAATTTCTACATCTTCTAACATGGCCCTCTGCCAACTGTCACCAACATTTCCACCCATAAACTTCATCTCAGTAAAAAGATAGACATCATCATATTCCAATTGAATAAATCTGTTTGAACCCTCACTTGTGCAAGCACCATTCTTACCAATCTTTTTATCAATTAGTCCGGCAATAGTGTTATCTCCCCAATTACCAACACAGGACATTTTGAGATTTGCAATGGGGATCAAGTTGACTTCCCCTGAAACATACTTTGGTTCAGTAGACATTGTTTGTTTTTTTTTGTTGCGTAGTTAGTATACGAAACTGAACTATTTAACGGTCCAAACAAATATCGTGTGGATTCATCCGAACTTGAGTATCTCTTGTAAGTTTCTTCGTGTTCTTGAAACCGTCACTGAGCAATTAATAGAATTGGAGGAGTAACAACAAACAGTTACTAACACTCCTGAACTGGAACAAAAACATGATATTTCCCTTTGTCGTGATAGGGTTTTTCAATTTTGGTTTCATTAGTTTGTAGTAGTATTAATAGTTTCTCGAATCAGGCAAGCGCATTGCATTGTTTTGTAAACATGGTTTTAATTGCAATTCGACATTGAGTGTGTTAAATTATCACGACTTGCAACTCTATTTTTGAAAAAGACAATTTAAGAATTTAAAGTAATTCTAGAATAAACATTTGTTTAATATATTGTACAATTGTTAAATAAATAATAAATTAATAATAACGAGGTTGTTGATAGACAGGTGGTTGAGGAGGTTGATAAACACTTGTAGTTGGTTGACCAAAAGGTTGAGGTGGTGGCATGTTAGAATTATAAGAATTTGGTTGATAAACACTTGTAGTTGGTTGACCATAAGGTTGTGGATTATAAACTTGTGGTTGAGGTTGATAATAACTTGGTTGTTGTGATGGAATTGGTTGATAATAGGAAGGTTGTGGTTGTTGATATGTAATATTTTGTTGATAAGTAACTGTTTGTTGTTGTGGAGGTGGTTGATACATTGGTTGAGAATGGGTTGGAACTTGTTGATAAGTTGTAATAGATTGAGTTGGTTGTTGTTGATATTGGGTTGTTGTGACAGTAACAGTTTGATTTGGTTGGAGTGAGAATGAAGATGGATACATAACTCCACTCATTCCTCTAAATCCACATTGTGACAATCCACCTGACATGACAAACAAGTAGGCATTGATAAATTCATCAAGAGTAATCACTCCATTTCTATCAGTATCCATCATAAAGAACAAGTGCTTGGATTGATGTTTGTGAACACCTAAACATCTCATGGCCAACTTGAAACTTCTCTTATTCAAATAGGTCAATCCCATAGAGTGTTGATAAAAGAGAGTTTGAGCTTGATTTACCCATGTTCCTCTATTAGAATGATAACTTGATGACTATTCATATTATTATCATCATTAATAATACAAACACATAACAGTATTATTATCATCAGAATTAAATTTTTGATCACAATAAATCACAAATATTCACATCATCATCCACCAGATCAGCAAAATATTTAAAATTAACTGAGAAGAATAAAAAACATACCACTACAAAATTATTAGGTAACCATCTTGGTCTACAACCATGCCAGAAAGTACATGTTGGAGTAGTAGAGACGGTCACAGTTGGACGTGATGGAGTAGTCAAAACAGCAGCGGTAGCCAATCCCAAGCCTAAACCTAACAATCCAGCTCCAACGGCTCCTCCAATTCCATGATGATGGTGATGATGATGACGACGACCGACCATATTGTTGTTGTTTGTTCTAAGAGTTTGATATTTGACTTTTACTACAAAAGAAAAGAATGGGAAAATTCGAGTGTTGCCTTTTTTTTTGTTTTATTTTTAAAAACTGGAAAATGGAGAGCGGAGTTTTGAAGAATTATTAAGGTTACTGTGTCAAGGTGAAAGCGGGTTACAGTCATGTTAATTGGAAAGTTATTGGATTGGGAACACGAAAAAATTTGATTTTGTAATCATGTTAATAGTTTACAAAAATACCATGAATTGCAAAGAAGCTTCCAATAATCATTGTTGAACACAATGAAATGTGTATCTGCTCAATAATAAGGAAAAGTCGCAAAAAGTTAATAATTAATTTCGGTTTTAATTTGAATGATTTCAAAGACTGCAAAATACACATCTTCAAAAATCCAAACACAAAAGCACAAAAACTAGTCAACAAATTGCAAAACTCATTCCAATAGTGGATTTGATTTCCCTCCTAACATTTTATACAATCATCATCATCATTGTTATCCAAATCAATGAATTTTTGATTGTCTCTCAGCTTTTTTGATTCAATGAAAGAACAAAAGAAGAATGGATTTAGCAATTTGATATTCACTCTTGAAAATTATCTCTCGGAAAATCATAGCGAAAGACCAAATTGTTACGAATTTACAATGAAGTTGAGTGCTATTTTTAACTTGGCATTGGGCCATAAAAAGAACTGTTGGTCTTTTATTCATTTATGAAATTGAAAAAAAATAACAATCAAATAATACTAAGAGAACCACACAAGATGAATACAAAGCACGTTCATTGCCAAATTTCTTCAAACAGACAAAACATGTCAATGCCATTATCTAGGAAAAGCATTACAAAGAATACAATGGTTGACAATAGAAAGAGTGTGAATTTAAAGAAGAACAAGTCCGCCAATGTTTCTTCTTCATCACCAAATAAGAAGGCTTCTGAAATTTCTTCTACAAATCAAATTACTAGTAACAAGCAAGAGGAACAACAATTAGATCCATTGTTTCAATTAACCTTGCTTTTAACCTTGATTGGCAGTTCTTCATCATCACAGTAATTGTTTTTCGAATATATGGTCGTGTTATTTCAACAAGAAACATGATACTAATTGAACCAACCCTAATTTAAAGATTTATCAGGATCAAGAATGATATGAAATCTGTCCAATAAACAAGACAAAAATCACAACCTACTCGTCGACATTCAGTTTAAAAATTTAAATTCTTTCTTCTTCTGTTCTATCCTCAATACCTGAATAGTCAACCGAATCAACAACTTCCTGCTCTTGGTGACCTTCCTGTTGTTCTTCATAGGTTTCATCCTCTGGATCTTGATTTTCATCGTGTTGTTCTTCAAAATCATTATCAAAATCCTCAAACTCTTCCTCTTCCACTTCTTGGACAACTTGTTGTTGAGGTTGATATTCTTCCTGCTGTTGATCATCATAATAATTATTATTATTATCAGTATTATCCTGTGAAACATGAACCACTGAAAAATCTTCAGTTCTGAGAGTGTCTGATTGAGGAGCCTCAGAGGTGTCAAAATGAGAATTATCAAACTCTTCAAAATCGCCAAAAGATGTCTCAGTCTCTCCTGTTGTCTTGATTTCACTAACACCCAAAGAGGCACTAAGTGGGAGATATGCATCCGTTGCAGTCATTATCTCTATTGGATTCTGGTTGGCTTGAGTTTGGAACATTTGAGATGTATCATGTTGCGGTTCATAGTTTTGATTCTCATTTCCTTCATCATATTGTTTAAGGAAATCTTCTGCTGATTGAGGTTGATTTGGAGCATATCCATTGGATTCTTCTTCTTCTTGTGTTTCTTCAACCTCAATAACTGGCGTTGGATCATGATCGCCATGGAATTGAGAAAATTGATAGCCTTGATCTTCTTCCTCTTCTTGTGTTTCCTCAACCTCAATAACTGGCTTGGTATTGATTTCCTTCTCTTTCTTCTCCTTCTTCTTTTCCTTTTTATCCTTTTTGTCCTTCTTGTCCTTCTTTTTCTTTTTTTCTTCTTCAGATGAAGATGAAGAGGAAGAGTCTGTACTCTCTTCGACCTCTTCAACTTTTCTTGGTGATGGTTTTTTCACACTAGACTCTATTATTGGAGATCTCTTTTGACTACTCTTAACGTCCTTCAAGGCTTGCATGCCGTTTTCCTTCTTGATTTGATTGTAATTATCTCGTAAGAGTGTTATCAACTTGTTTTGATTCTTCCACAATTCCTTTTCTCTGAATGACATTCCTCTTGTATCAACTCTGGTCATTGAAGAAAAGAGTTTGTTTGGATTGTCAACAAACTCTTCCATAATAGCTTGATAACTTCTCTGTAAATTATTGTACCTGTCATTATTTTCCTTAATAGTTTTATACAGTTCTGAGGGTATGGTAATCATTTCCTCTGGTTCTTCCTCTTGTTTTTGGCTCTTTCTTGCCAAAAGTTTAAGTGTATCGGCTAGCTGAGGAATGAGGCCACTCATTGTGGTTCCTTCTCTTTCATCATCCTCTTGTTGCTGATGTAAATTTTCCAAAACATGTCTAGCCAATTCCTCCTCCAACCGAACTGACTTGTCCACTTTTTTTGAAGTTTTCATACTACTCGTTGCACTTGAGGGGGTTACAGTTTTTTTCTTTGATACAGAAGATTTCGTTGATGAGGAAGCAGATTGTGGTTTTCTTACTGTTGATGTTCCATGTAAGACATGATACCAATCCTTGGTTGGTTGTTCAAGGTAAGAGTTTGTATTTCTTCCAAGTGTTACGTTTTTCTTTCTCATACTCAATGAGTCAACTGTCTTTGTACTATTGCTTAGAGAACTGGGTCTGGAAGGGTTTGCTGATGAGGGCCTTTTAATTGGTTGCGTATTTAAAACCTTTCCTGATGAGGTAATTGATTTTTTCTTGACCTTCTTTTTCGTTTGTCTTTCCTCCACGAAACGTTGAGGCTCCCCTTTCAACTGTCTTGAAATATCAGCCAGTTGATTTGCCATCGTATTGATTTGATTCTCTATTTGTCCTCTCATCATGATTGTTTGAGCCTGAGTATCCTTGTAGTGTTGTACAAGAGTAGACAGTGCTCCCATCTCTCCGTTTGCCATTGTACCTAGCATTGGATTGTATGTATTTTGTACAGGTTGATTTTGGAATGTGTTATCAGTTACAGTAAACAGAGGATTTCTTGTGACAGCTCCTGTTTGCATTCTCAATGACTTGTCCATGGTACCAGAGTGTGGACCTCCATCAGTCATTGGTCTCTGTAATGAGAAACTCTTGGAAAAGTTTTGAGTCAAGTATTCATTAAAATTATCTATTGGACCTGCCTTAACAAGTGACCTCAATCTCACATCCATATCAATCACTCCAACATCGTATCCTCTATCATTTTTAATTGTAAATGTTCCACTAATGGTACGTTTCTGTGGTATTCTTTCACCTTTTGGAGCATCAATTTCATCCGAAACTTTCAATTCATTGAGAGGTATACTAACACTTCCTATAAGAACTGGTTTCCAATTACCACGACCCATATTAGGATCAGCCATACTTCCTCCGTATGTCATGTCAGTAGGTGAGGCTGTCAAAATGAATAAAAACACATAGAGGGGTAATGTTTGGATATATTGTCCCAATTCCATTCTTTCCATTGAAAATACTACACTTTTTCCTGTTCTAAATAACATATTATGTGATGAGACTTTTTCCTGATTCTTCATCATACCAGTTCCATAAAAACTTGTTTGCTTAAATCCTTCTTTAAACATTCTATTTTCTTGGGTGTCATCTCTTCCATAGGGACCCTCAGGTTTTTGAATGTACATTAGAGGAAACTCCCACAATCTGAATCCTATACAACTGTCATTGGAGAGGAGTGGATTTGTAGTTTTATAGATGAAATGAGAAACTTCGTGAATGTAGACATCAAGAGACCATAAACTGAGAATAGAGTATGTCACTTTAATTTTAAGTGAACCTTGAAACTTACTTTGAGTCAACTTCTGATATTTCTTCCTCTTCATAGTAGTCGTTTTGAGAAGATAAAGATGAGGTGGATCGAGGTGAATCCTCCACTAATTGTTGTTGAGAACGAGAAGTGTTTTTCATAGATGATGGTTTCCTTGAAGAGGATGATGAGCCAGCATCTTGTCTGTAATTTGATGAAGAAGGTTCAGGTTGTGTTTGATAATTCGTTCCAATAGTTGGCTGTGTTTTTTTCATCTTACTTTGATGAGGTTGATATTCATAGGGAACAGAATCCGATCCTTCTTTCCTACTTTTTGGTTGTTGTTTTGTATCAAATGACACCATTCCTCCAGTCCAACTCGATTGAGAGGTACTATGATCATTAGGGTATTTATGTATCGATACTTTAGAATTCATCATTGAGCGTTTATACTATTTGAATATTATTTCAATAATGAAAAAATCTCTATAGCCCAGTAGTTGATGTACTTTTTTTTAATGTATTTTCTAAAATTAAGGCGGTAAAATTTAGGCGCCAAAAATAATGTTTTTCAACCTCAAAAAAAATATCTTCACATTGTCCACCCTGAAACATTTTTTCATATTCGATCAAAAACAAGCCTCTTCGGAGTGTAAGATAACAATGAAGAATGAAATATTACAAACAAATTAATTTAATTTACATTTAATGGAAAGCACCTCCATTAACATTCAAAGTGTTACCACCCAAATTGTAAATGTAACCATACAAGTTGACATTGTTAAAGTTGAAAACACCCTTAGTCAAGACGTTACCATAGAATGGACCATTAACAGCAACACTGTTACCAATAACCCAGAAAACATTGTTTTGAGTGGCACCATTGGTGAAAACAAAGTTGATATTGTTGGCATTCAAGTTGGTGCTCAACTTTAAGACAATCTTACCAGTACCAGAGAAGGTAACCTTGCTGTTACCATTCAAACCTTGTGGGAAACAGTAGACACCAGCAGTGAAAGTCAAACCAGCACTTGGAATGTTTTGATCCAAATTGCTTTGAGTACAAGTGGCAGCAAACAATTCATCATACTTGGCAATGGCATTTTCAATAACTTCAGCAGATTCACCATTAGCAACATTGACAGCATAACCAGAGGCAGCAACGAGTTTTTGAACAGCAAAGGCTCTATCAGTGGCAACACTTCCTGGAACAGTCAATGAGGCAGAGTTTTGAACCAAGATGGATCCCTTTGAAATGACCTTGTATGGAGTCAAGATAGTACCAAAGGTAGTATCATAGTCACATGGCAAGACATTTGGAACGACATATGAGTCAGTAGTGAACTTCAAGTATGGAATTGTCTTATCTTCAAAGTATCCATCGAAAGTCAATTCAATAGTGAGAGCAGTGTAACCTTGAGCTGGATTTGGGAAGAAGACTTCATATTCGAATGGGTTTCCAGTAGCCTTTGGAGCAACAGTAACAGCAGTGAAAATTCTACCAATAGTGGTTTGTCTGAAATCTCTACCATTTGGATTGTTGGCAGACCACAACTTGACAGCAGTAGGAACCTTACCATTCAAAATGTTCAACTTGACATTAACACCAGCAGCAGTGTAAGTGTGAGAGAAGGTATATTCAGGAAGTTCAATATTTTTCAAGACAGCATAGTAGAATGAGGCAACAGTCAAGACAACATCGGAACCAGTCATACCGTGACCAGTATTTGGAATATATCTCAAGTGCTTGTTCTTTCTATTTGGCATATCATTATAACTCAAAGTACTCATATCTGGCCAGAAGAATTCATCACCCATAGAGTTGACCATATATTTTCTGTACTTGGCAAGATCTTCCTTCCATTCGAATGGATCAATAACTTCACAGAGCTTGGTAAAACCATAAGAGTTGACGTGTGGAGTGAAACCAGCAGCAATATAATCATACATGGCAATTGGGAAGTCACAGAGAGAATTGTAAATGTGCTTGATAGCCTTTTGAGTATTTGGAATTTGAATAACGAGTGGAATGAGAGCCTTAACTCTTGGATCATTGGCAATACCAACTGTCCAAGTAGTCCAACCTCTCTTTGAGGCACCAGCAACAGTGAATTTTTCAATAGTGACACCTGACACTTTGGTTGGCACAAAAGATTGAGTAGTATCCAATGCCAAGAGAGATGCCTTAGTCATAGGAAGTCTTGGAATCCACTTAACGTCCCTTGGGAAGTCGACTATATGCTTCCAAGCATATCCGATAATACCATCTTCAACTCTAACTTGATGCAATGGATCATTGGCATATGTCAATGGTTGATTAGGAATCATCTTGACAGTGACACCAATAGTTTTACCAACAGTAGCCATAGCAATAGTGATTGGATCACCAGTTGGAAGACCATCAGTGGTATCTCCGTTAGTAATATACACAAAAGCTTCCTTTAAGCTTTTATCCAAATTGGTTGGAACAACAACTTCGAGATAGTGGAACCACAATGCACGATAACCAAATTCTTCTGGCAACCATTCAACTGAGGTCATATTAAGTACATATACAGTAGCACCAGTAACGGTGAATTCACTCAATAATTGATATGAATATTTTGGAGTTGGCTTATTTACATAGTCGGCCATAACTTTCTTATAGTCGATAATTTTGGTTGGGTCAGCAGCAATGTCAAATTGGTCTTCTGCATTGGAAAGGGCAGCAACAAGAGCCAAAATAACAGCCAACAAGACAATCAAGCTCTTTGAAAGCTTCATTTGTTATGTGTGGATAGTTGAGTTGTTTTTTTTTGTTATGTTGATTGTTGAGGAGCAATTGACTGGGTTTTTAAATCTTTGATTGCGCAACTCCAGATTGTGAGACACAGTATTGCGCAAAAATAAATAGTATTGTAAAGTGTGAAATGTAACTTACACAACACTTTAGACTGCAAACTTCCCTTTTTATCGTTTGCCAAAATTGTGACCAGTTGGTAATTTATAGAAGTGATGTGTAAAATGAAAGTGCTACCTTACCCTATGAATGTAAAGAGCGCTATGGTTTTTTGAATTAAATGTAATCTTTGGACAACACTTGGCATGTTTGTAATCTTCAAACCAGATCGAGAATTTCTTCTACTTCGTATTAGAGAAGGAAATTGAACTGTGTGCCGACTTCAATGTGTCATTGTGTTGAAAATAAATACCAAATGTTGAAGTGTCAACTGATTATTTGAACAAGAATGGTTTACAGCTTATTGTAGTGGAGCGATTTAATGGTTTTTGATTGACTAAGAGGGTTAGAAAATTGTTTATGGAACTCTACAGCCATTTCCTAAAGATCGTTACTAAAGTGTTGGACATGTCTTAGTGCTTTCAGTGAACTGAAGGTGTGGTTAAGGTTATGATTGTAATAATATTGTGGTCAACTGTTTATCCACAACAACCGTAGATGCTCAAACAAAATCCAACATAAATGAAGTATGGTTGGCTTTTCAATTATTACCAGAACACATTGAAGTATGGTTCGATTTCATGTTCATAAAGAAGATCATCATCTTGTTCAATTTTCACAAAGGCAAAACAATTCACCTCCACAATGTGATCCTTGGCTTGCTCTTCATTGTCAACCTGGTAAACTACTTGATCGCAAACATTGCAAAATCTATTACTATTTTTGTAAACTTGTAGAGATTCAAATTTGAGAGGACATTTGTAGATACATTCGCATTGATTGACTAAATTCCATTCATACTCTTTAATTCTGTAATATTTCTTTCGTTCTTTTGAAATATTAATAGTAGGATTATGTATTTTGATGTGATTGATTCTTCTTCTAAGAACGCAAAGCCAATTCTTGATATTTAGGTTGTTTCCATTAAAGTTTGGAAAATAAAAACAAACTAATGGTTTCCAAATTTCCAATTGAACTCTTTCAAATGCTGAACTTTCTTCATTGACGATAGAGGTGATGTTATCGACAACATGACAAAGGGCTCCAGAATTATCTGATTGTGGATCTATTCTTCTATTGAAGAATAGACTCAATAATGATTGGTTTACCCATCGCAAATCTATTCAATTCTGATAAATTCAGAAACTTCCAATCAGTATTAGAATCTCAGATGGCAATTCATAGATAGTAAATTGTGAAATAGATTCTCCAGTACCCAAATCCACATTAATACTACAAATATTCATTAATCCATTTAAAATACTGTGTGGAATAGATGCTGAATTGGGAATATCCAATTCTAATCCAATACTTGCCACATTATCCATTGCTTCCTGAACTAACTTATTCAATTCGGGTGTGGTCGTTAAATTCATTAATTTCATATATGAACGGTTCCAAACCACAGGTGAATTCTCATAGTAATTCAACACCTTCAATCCATATTCAATTACTGGCATCATGTCTAACATTTCCAATAAATCAGCTTGCATTTTTCCAATTTTCTCTCCCTCACTCAAAATTAAACAATCTCTACAAGATTCCACCTGTCCCACTATTGTTCGAAACACAACTCCCAATTGTTGAAACATTGGAGCAAGTATAGGAACTGGAATGGTGGCGGTGAATCCACTTCTGATGTAAATATTGCGTGGAGATCTTTCTCCAATTTTTGCCCTTGTTTCAAATTTGAAAGATTGAATTTGTTCAATCAATTCTTCAATTTCTGATGAATTTGTAAAGATTAGTCCAACATTTCCATTCAAATATTCGCAAATTTTGAGTAATGACTCTGGATTGTGTTTCCTCTCCGAGGGTTTCACATTAAATTGAATGTCCTGAGCCAAGTTTCGAATAGCACTCTTGATCAATGTATTCTTTCCTTTCAATAATATTGCTCTTCCTCTCAATTTCATTCGAATTATTTGCAATTGATCCGATTTCATACGAGTATCTATTTCAACAATAATTACATTCGAATGATCATGAAAATGTTGAATGACATCCTCGAATTTTACACTATTTTCATCATCATTCATTTTCACTTATTATTGATTTTAAAAATATGATGAACGTGCAATTGGTTCCAAGAGTGAGTTGCCGTATTTTTTTTTAATTTTACAGTAAATTTCAGAATTTACTTTTTTAAAGAGCAATTACAATCTTTGTAATGTGTTAATGAGATTAAAATATTCAGATATTTATTAAGGTTCAATGAGATTCTCTTTACAATTTGCACAGAGTTTATTGTGGGTGCTGGTTTAATGTCTGGTTTCACACTTGGTTTACTTTCCATTGACATACAATGCATTGGATATTCTCAAATCGACTGAAAAGGAGTGAAAGGTTGCTGCTCGTTTGGCTCATTCATCCCAATAAATAATTCCCATAGCTAAATCATCATCGTATTCATCCCCTCCTTCCACAAAAGCAATGCAATTTCCCTTAATGATATGATGTTTGGCTTGTTCTTCACTACCAACTTGGTAAACTATCTTGTTGCAGACATTACACATTCTACTGGAAGAGGTGTGAAGTGGAAGAGAATCGTATTTGAGAGGACATTTGTAGATCCATTCACATTGGTTGATGAGATTCCATTCGTAACTCTTAATTGCAAAAGATTCGTTTCTTGCTGATGCAAGGTTGACTGAAGGCATGTGTAGCTTGATATGGTCAATTCTTCTTCTGAGAACGTGGAGCCAATTCTTGATATTTAAATTATTTTTCCTAAAGTTAGGGAAGTAGAAACAAACTAATGGTTTCCAAATTTCCAATTGAACTCGTGTAAATAGTTCACTCTCTTCATTTATCATAGCAATTGAATTCTTGAGTGATTTCTCAATTGAATGAGATTGTGAAATAATTCTTCTATTGAAGAATAGACTCAATAATGATTGATTACCCATCGCAAATCTATTCAATTCTGATAAATTCAAGAAACTTGCAATTAATATCAAAATTTCAGATGGTAATTCATTTACAGTAAATTGTTGAATGGAATTAATTGTTCTCAGTTCTACCAAAACTCGACCGACATTCAATAATCCATTGAAAAGACTATGTGGAATAGATGCTGAATTCGGAATATCCAATTCTAATCCAATACTTGCCACATTATCTACTGCTTCCTGAATTATACTATTCAAATTTAGAGATGCTCTCAGGTTTTCATATGTTTGATTCCAAACCACGTGTGAATTTTCATAGGAAGCTACCACTTTCAGTCCGTATGCAATCATCGGTTCCATCTTCAACAATTCCAAAAAATCTGCCTTTTCCTTTGTAATTTTCTCTCCAGCTCTCAAAAGTAAAAAATCTGTCGATGCATATACATCCTGTTGAGCTATGTCTCCAACCTTTGCCTTTGCTTCAAATTTGAAAGATTGAATTTGTTCAATCAATTCTTCAATTTCTGTTGAATTTGTAAAGATTAGTCCAACATTTCCTCTCAAATATTCGCAAATTTGATAAAGAACTTCTGGATTGTGCTTCCACTCTGATGGTTTCACATTAAATTGAATATCCTGAGCCAAGTTTCGAATAGCACTTCTGATCAATGTATTCTTTCCCACCAATAATTCGGCCTTCTCTCTCAATTTCATTCGAACTATTTGTAACTGATCCGATTTCATTCGAGGATGTATTTTAATAATAATTACATTCGAATGATCATGAAAATGTTGAATGACCTTCTCGAATTTTGCACATTTATGAGAGAGACCCTTCTTTTCGGAATGAAATTGTTGTTTTGAAGCTGATTCGTCCAAGTTTTTCATTCCAACTCAACCTCTGAAGGAATATCAATGCATTTCCAGCTGGTTCAGTAACCTTTCTAGTCATCAACTCCATTCGAGAATCGTAAAATATCGTCGATCCACCCTCAAACTCTCCATCCTATTGAGAATTCAGATAAATAATGAGAGTGAGATAACTCTTTGTTTTGTTCTTGTGATCCTCAAAGCTGCCATCGACGTGTTTGTTGAAATAATGCCCTGGTTTATACTTGCATAATCTCCAACGAGGATTTATACTTGCTAAGTGCAATGTTCTGCCATCCTTACTCAATGTTTGTGGCAGATGTTGCTTTATACGATTCCAGACTATTTCAGTAAATTTTGGATCGTCACTCATTAAACGATCATTAAATCGATCATTATAGGCATAGCAAAACTTATCCGCATCCTCATATCCCATCTTTTCACTCAACTCTATCATTAATTTACATTCGTCTTTTGAAAGCACTTGATCCAATACGAAACATGGTTTCTTTACTTGTTCAACCTCCTCAACTGTTTTTCTTGAAACTCGTGGACACCAATTATTCGAATCCATCAGAAGCATATTTTTTTGTATTTGTGAAATATTCTCATCATTAGAATCATTCAGTATTGGTGCATAGACCATCTCGTTCCATCCTGTAGGAGCAGAAAGTAAAGTCATTTTTTTTTAATTTTGTGTGCTTTTTTTATTTTGCACTTTTAATTATTTTACAAAGTTATTAATAGAATTTTTACTTTTTTTAGAATGATTTCAAAGTTCATCATCAAATAACCAGTTATTAGTTTACAATATTTACAATATTTACAATGAGGTGCTGATTAAGTTACATTAGTTTTTCAGCCACTTTATCCCTTAGTTCTTCAAGTTGCTCTGCACCTAATACTCGCTTTTGTGTCTTGTTTGAAACAAGAACAGTTGGTTTAGTCCCGATGGCACCTCCTTCTACATTTCCAATTCTAAATGTAGTCATCACAATTCCTGCAACGTTTGGTTGACCATTGACAGTTCTGTCATCATTCAACATTTCTTCGTTATCTTCTTCTTCTTGAGAACTTGATTCGTCCACAGTTTTGAAAACAGTTGCTTGGTCACCAATAGCACATTCTCTTGCTTTCTTTATATCAAAAACTGAAACCTCATCCTTGCATTCTTGTCCTGTCAATTGAGGAATGTTTACAATTTCGTCATCTTCGCTGCTATCCTTTACAACATAGCAAGAATTTGTTCCAACTGCAGCTTGCTTACACTGGTTGATTTCAAATACTGAAGAAACAGAGGAGGAGTAGCACTCTTACAGTTTGAATTTCTCTTCATTTTGAGTTGTGGTGGTTTTTTATTTTGTTTGGTTATTGGAATGTGGACCTCGAAATAATTTGATTCAGATTTAAACAATTGAATGCTGGTGTTTATTTCGAGGTCAATACAATGAGATATTTATAATTTATCACGGTTATTATAATTTACCAATTAATTACCTTCTGCTTTTAGAAAGTAACTTGTTTTTAATGTCAACTGATCCCAAGTTTACAATAAATATTCTCCTCATTATTTCCGGATTCTTTAACAATTTGAAAAATCGCTTGTTTAATGACTGTACAATATAGAGAAGAGAGAGAGCTATTATACAAACGTGCATTATATAAATAATACAATAGTTGAAGATTTTTCATTATTAACCACCAAAAAAAACATGTGCATTTCCTTCTTGATGAAATATTCCAACAACAACAGTAGCAGAAATGACTTGTTCATCAGCAGAAACCAACGAAAATATCACAGATAATGAAACCAATGAAAAACACATTCATTATCATTCAAATTATTACATTAGGAAAGTTAGTCACTCAGCCATAGGTTCGAATCCAACTGTCTTGGTTGACAAGAAGAACCATCAACAAGAGAATAAAGATAACGAACACATATTTATCGACTCGAGAATAAACGAAAAGGTTACAGAAATTAATGTGCAAACTATGAACCAAATAAGAAATTGTCCATCAAGTCACAAAGATACAATCACAGAATTATCAACAAGATATCAAACCCTCATCGAGACTTTGAATGTAAAAGGAACAGATTTGCAAACACTTGACGCAAAAAGGCAGTTAATAGTATTGAAATCGTATTTGGCCGTAGGCAAAACATTGAATGAAAGTCAACTGTCCTCCTGCTTGAAAGCTATCAAAAATTGTCAAGCAAATGTGAGACCTCCCTTGCTTCTGAAGTATTACATGGTCTATTGCTGTGTAAAGAAGGTGTCAGGTATGGAGCAAGATTGCTTAATGATATCTGACATGTTAAAGGAAATTCCTAAAAGTGCAGCAGATGAAAAAGAACTCGAGTTTTACTTTGCATTAATGGAATGGGAGTCTGACATGCATTCGATTTCCTCAGAGAGAATGTGTGATATTTATCGTGTTTTTGACAGAACTCTTGATGAATTTATGAAGGAAGGTAGGATTGACTCAGTTCAAAGAATATCTTTCAAGTTGATCGATGTGGCTAAGAGGATCGAAAGTACCATTAAAAGAAACACTTTAAACAAAGTGAACTGTCTGAGAAGGAAACAAGTTGTGCAGGAAAATTACTATAATGCAGCTCCTGCAAACATGCATGTTGATATTCGAGAGAGTTTGAGAGAGGTATTACAATATAATTACTTTCAAGAGGAATAAATCTGTATATACAGAGAGCCAAAGTTTCATTTCAAAACAGACAGTAAATCATACAAGGAATGAATTTGTTCACATAGGCAATAAATCACATCCAAAACAAGGTACTTTCTTATAATTTGAATTCATCTTTAAAAACTGTAACGTTCAAGTAGCCGACATGGCCTTAATTTCGCCTCCATTTCACTCCAAAATTATGCCTTAATAACTCAACGGTGGAATTTTCCTCTCACACCAGAAAAAAATACCCATCGAACAGACCATATATCATCAACCACACCAATAATACCACAACCTGGGTGCGTTTTAAACACATTGTTATTTTATTGTTGCTCCAAATAGTTATCAGTGGATGGTTTCTTAATACGTAGAGTGTCTAACGAAGTGGAAGAATCATCAGGGACGAGACCGACAATAGAAGCTCCCACAGACATGAGTAATCGATTTTCAAAATCATTGAATTTTTGTTTTAACAGATAGGTCATCATTAAACCCTTTCCTTTCACTTCGACTTCTCTTGGTTCGTAATCATAGAGGTCGTGCACTCTTTCATAGGTTGAACGTGAAATTTGTATTCTTCCTGGTAAACTTGTTGATTCCATTCTTGAAGCAGTCTGTGAAATATGATTAATGAAAACTAACAACATTACACAACTTACATTTACAGCATCTCCCCACAAATCAAAAGCAAACTTTTTGGTTCCAATAACACCTGCAACAACACTGCCTGTGTGAATACCCACACGGATATTGAGTTGATTGGAATATAAATTTCCAGTACTTTCATTGTAATCTTTCAATACCTTAAACATGTCAATGGCAAAATTAAGAGTTCTTTCAGGGTGGTCACTTTCTTTAGCGTCCAAATATAATCCTCCAGCAACAAAGTATGCATCTCCAATGGTCTTGATTTTTTCCAATTTGTAAATATCACACAATGCGTCAAATCCATTTACAATGTAATTTAACATTTGAACAAGCTCAGTTGGAGAGCAATATGAAGATCGTGAGGTGAACCCAACCATATCACTGAATAGACATGTAACATCATCAAATTTTTCTGAAATTGTTGTCTCTCCAGCTTTCAATCTATTAGCAACAGCCACTATTAAGGTTGTTCGAATTGACTATAAAATTCAAACGACTTACCTGGCAAGATATTTAACAATAAATTCTCAGATTTCTTCTTTTCAATATTCAACAGCTCAACCGATTTCTTCTCTGATGTAATATCTCTAAAGATGGCTGTGAAAATCTTCTTTTGTTTCTTCTCCATCATTACCTCATTCTGCTGGACTTCAATTTGGGCAACTGAAATACTCATCACTATTGGGAAGGATTTACTTGCATCGAGAGTATTTGTCGAGATGGCATGTCCTCTCTTGGCATTCAACTCGACAACTTCTCCAGATGATTCAGATTGTTGAAGGTAGCTCAACTTTTCTTCCAACTTTTCCCTTTCATTTGTTGAAAAGAGAGAAGTTACAGGCGTACCGATTACTTCACTCGATGATTTGATACCCATCATTCTCAGTGCAGAAGTATTGATCATTTCAACAGTTCCTTGTGCATCAAATTGAATAACTCCTTCAATGGCAGTTGACAAGATTGCAGTCAAATTGTCAACTCTTTCTCTAGAATCAACTAAAAACTTCTTTTGTTTGGATCTTCTAAACATGTTTAAAGTGGAATACAACTGGTCATTCAGGATATATCGACTCACTTTCTGATTATTATCCAAAACTTCCCAAGAGACATGATTAAACATTTGTCTCAATTGATAAATTTCTTGTTCATATCTAATAATTGAAGAGTATCCAATATAAGCGCATATTAAAAAAATGACAAAGAATATGACTGAAATTGAAATGGTTAACGAAAGATTCGACAGCTTGGAAAATGTTGTAATGAAAATTTCCAATGAAGTCTTGACTTTGTAATTGAATGAAGCGGCCATTTCCCAAGAAACCGAATGAAACTGTGGTAATAAAACCTGAGGAATGTATGTCTTTCTATAAGCCAATTGATTATATAAGTCAATATACACAATAAACAATTGTAATAATTGAGTAACCGACAAACATTCGAAATATTGTCGATTATTGGTAATTGTGTTATTTTCCAAAAACGATGAAAGGTCGGTAATGTTTCCACTATTTTGAAATCGAGAACAATTAGCTGGTAATATCAACTTGTCTATGTCATCACTCACCCCCAGAAGTGAAAAGTATCCTTTTGAACTATCCCCGTACAAGTAAGATTTCATATAGGTTTCAACTTCTCTCGAATGGGTCGTAATGTCCTTGTGAATTCTATCAATTTCACAGGAAAGTCCTCCCCACAATGGTTTCCAATCATTCATGAGAAGTAATTCTCCCAACTTGAACATGATTCTATTGAAAATTACCTTAATCTTTGAAGCTTGATACAATTTGTTTAGAGCCATATCTTGATTCTTCAGATTATTGTTTGTATCTACCAAGTATAAAATGATGGCCAATAAAGCAGTTAAGAAAATGATAATCACAAGCGAGATGAGTGTTCTGGTTGGAGTGAAATAAGTGCCAATAGCAAGCGAGGTTCTATCAGAGTCAATGTTATGGGAAACTTTGGAGGTGGATGCCTTTTCAAGTGTGTGATAAATCTTTCCTGATTCTTCCTTTGCTAATCCAAAGAATAAGTGAGCTATACGTTGTTGTTTTTTGAAATAGTCAATTAGGACAACTAGAGTAATCAAACCAAGTATAAAGAAAACTCCAATCGATGCACCCATGACATACAAGAATAAATTCAGAATATTGCTCACCTTGTTGGATTTAGCTGTCAAGACATCAGAACAGACATTTTCTAAAGCATAGGCATTGTACTTTCTATTTTGCCAGAAAAAGAGAAACGACGGATTGTCCAATGTTTGTTTCACTTGAGTTTCTGTAAAATCCTTTACTCTGTCAACATGAACATCCATCAATTCGACAATTTCCTTGATAGTTACATTTCTCTTTTCATAATTCATTGTTGAATTTTCATTAAAAGTTGTGGAGATTACTGGCATGAAAATTTCAGTTTCCTGACCTTCCCACAAATCCAAATAACCAGTCTTGTCAGTTTCTGACATTTGTTCCAAGAATGATTTGAGGTAACCCTTGTAAGTTTTCAATTTTTCTTGTTGAGTTTTTTTATAAGTTCTGGAAAAAGTCGAATTGTCCTTATCGAAATAGTAATGCCTTTGTAAAAGACGAATTTCACATAGAATCAAGAAAGGATAAGGAGAGGTAGCACATAAATTCTGATAAGCAGAAAGTTCTGGATTGCTTCCAGAGCTGAGACTTCCTGTAAAAGAGTTTGAAATCATGACAGCAGCAATTAATCCACCAATCACAACCAACAAGCTCACCCATGGAAAGAACGAGGTAAAAATAATTGTAGTAGTCAAGTGACTCCTTCTTTGAATACTCTTAGTATAAGTATCTTGTTGTTTCTTGCTGAATTGCTCTTCATCATGTTGATTTTCAAATTCACAAATGTCATCAAATTTGATCTTTTTCTCTTCCTCCAATTGACTCATGCTTTCAGATACAATGATAGCTGGCACTACCCTAGAACGTCTCTTCTTTAAAGATCTCTCAGAGAAAGTTTCCAATATAGTTGGTTGTTTTGATTTGAGTTTTTGACTTTCTTCCTCTTCAATCACTGCTACAAGTTGAAGTATTTCCTTGCTCTTTTCCTTATCAAAGATGAATTCTTCAACGAACATGGCATAGGGACGAAGTGCTGATTTGTTGTAGGAATGGAGAGCAACCAAACTTTCAAATTTGGATTTACAATGAGAGGTCAATTTGGTAATTTTTCTATTAATGATGATGAGCTCATTCAAACTATTTTCATTATTAGTAATAACTACTTTCCAGAAGCTTTTGTGAAATTCTCTCAATTTGGATTGTTTCTTTGACAAATGTTGTAAAGTTTTTGAAATTGACTTTTCAGAATCAGCTGAAATATTCAAACTTGCCATAAGTTGAGTTTCAATTTCAGATCTTCTCACAGAGCCAACATATTTTTCAAATATTGATGGCTTGCACATGTACATTCTCTTGAGTAAATACAGTGCAATATTCAAATTTGTCTTGGCATGATGTTGTGTTTGATCCAATTTATGATATCTGACATAATTGACAATTGCTAAACAAATAGATGCAGAGCTGTATTCACTTTTGTGACGAATTGATCCTCTAATGATGGCACTTATAATTCTACATTTGGTCGAAGGTGGATTATCGTTGTTCTCATCAACAATAGTTCTCTGTCGTGAATTGTATTCTGATGAACAGAATCGAATGGCCATTTCCAAGTTTGCTTCACCAATTTCTTCTAATAAATCAGGTGTGAGAGCAATTTCACTTGTATTACCAGAATCTAATAGAGGTGAGCATATTTTCTTCACTACTTTTGTGGCTCTTCTTGTATAAATGTCCATAATTGTAACACCAACTGTTAAGAATATTAAGAAACCACCAATGGCAGCTCCCCAATAAATTACACCATTCGTGGACAGGACATCTACTGTGTTAGTGTCAATATTTACAATTGAACATGTCAAGCTCACAATATTCTGTCCAACTATTCCAAACATGATGCCGGCCATGTAAGAATTCTCAGATCTAACATTGAATGGAACAATAATGAAAATCAAAACAGCCAATATAAGGAATAGAAAGAGTGAAAATGATGGAAACAGGTATGGAAATGATGAATAATTTGGAATCATTTGAGAGTACCAATAGAACAGCATCATGACCAAATTGACCACCGAAATGAACACTGGACTTTTCGATGAGAAGAATGAAGCTCTCCTCTTCAGCAAACCATGCCCACTCCCTGATGTTGAGTACAGTAATGAATCTGTCTCTATAACTCCGAATAGGAACAATAAGACAATCAACACTTGTGGCCAAATGTGAATAACAGAGAGGGCAGCAAACACAGCATTCATTGGTCCCCAACATTCAACTTGTGAATAATCCCTCAAGTAGAATGTACCTCCATCACTTCCAGAGGAATTTATCTTCTCCGTATAATCACAACTCCAAAAAGAACTGAACAAGTGAGTGATTGGCAAGTTAAGGATGAAAAGGGCAATTACCAGGAATCGGCTTAATTGTTTAGACCTACGCTTAAATTTCACAAATCCAACCAGATATCCCTTGTATTCAATATAGGTGTGAAGTATCAGAAACCAGTGGATAACAAACACTATCACCGACAAGACAACCACAGCCACATGAGGAATAAAGTGGAATCCAAACGTGATGAGTGTTTTGAAAAAGTAGAGATTAATGTCGTGTGCAATTTGACCCCACTGCACAAATGGAATGAATCCTAGTGCAATTAACTGCAACGGAAGTAAAATTCCATGTGTGAAGAGTGGTAACAAGTGTGGAATGATTGATTTACCCAATTGATGATGTAAAGTACTAGAATTTGAAAATTTAAAAGTTTGAATGAGGGAGGTGATTCTCTCCTCGACTCTTGGCTTGGAAGATATCAGCAAATCTGAAGAAAAGGACATTGAAGTATCGGCAAGTGATATAGTATCATCCTGTTGATAACTAGCAGTTCCAGTATTATTATTAATCATATTAGCATTTGATGAAGAACTATTGAAGGGAGTAAAATCATTATTTGAATCCACAAGTAATTGATTTGAAGATGAGGAGGAAACTAGTGCAGCAGTAGCAGCAGTTGCATTAGTGGTTGAGAATGAACTACTTGAACGATGCATCGCTTTAAACTCCAATTAAGAATAGAGAGAGAAGACAACAGTAGTGTGTGACTGGGTTGTTTCTTCTCAATTTATTAAGGTTGTGTAATGTTTTTTAAAAGTGAACAAGTTTGTGTGTTTATTACGTTGATGATTCGCGTTCTGAAACTTCTTTAAGACCATTAGCACCAAAAAAGGAACAAAATGGTAAACAATAAGGAATACAAGCTTGTCGGTAAAACCCATGAAAGCGCCGACAACAACGAACGCGTTTTGAAGCATGCTTTGAAGAACAAAGAGGCGCAGAATGGAGAGGGAAAAGCTATTAAGGGAATCTGAGATGTTGAAAAATCTAGCTTTCAAAATTTCTGCTGATTACTACGAACGGGAATACTATGGATTCAATTTCATTGTAAATTCTCAAATTTTTCCAATAAAGTTTAATCTCCATGATCAGACTCTATTTGGACCTGTACGAACTTCAGTTTATTTCAGTTTATTTCATATTATATTGGATATTGTTTCATGTTTCCTCTTAGATTCATTCTTCAACAGTTGTGGTAAATACAATCCAATCGATCTCCACTTGGAAGCACACAAGTTCATCTCTATTTGGAAGAGAGCAGGATTACAACCTGTCCGTCACTTGTCTGACACAGAAACCAAATCTCAAAAAAATGTCTTTTGGTTGGAAGTTCTACCACTTTTGTTGTGCCGTCATGTCTTTCATCATATGCTTCATCCTTCCGTTCTTTATTGTGGTTTGGGAACAGTTTGTTTGTGCATTCTATAACAACAAGGCAAATGCAAAAAATACAACCACATGTTCAATATGGTCATCTGTTTCAACAAAGTGGACAATTGCAATATTTATTCTAACTCTATGTGGTTATTTACCTGGAGTGATTGCAGCTTTTATTTATGCGTTTGTGGCTGGAAGAGTATCATGGATTCCACAATAAAAAGTTCATATGTAAAATTGTTTGGGGACAAAAATGGAGTCATAGGGAATCGAACCCTAGACCTTCTGCATGCAAAGCAGACGCTCTACCAACTGAGCTATAACCCCCTCATGTTCGAGTTACAAAAGCAATAAGTAAACCCATGGAGTGTTGTTGGATTCGGAAAACTTTGCTCATTGCCCCTGAATTGGTATGAATGCAATAGCTTATTTGTTTAGGGAAATAGTAGTTGTATGGACTTAGTATAAAGAAATATTTTGTAAATTACGCGAAAAAGAACCTCAAAATTGAGGTTTGACCAGAGCCATTTGAAGTTGGGTGGGTTATATTAATAAACGAACCAGAAATTCATTAAAAACCTATTACGAAGATGGTGCTCAATTAATAATTAATCATTGAGCCACATTCATATGTTTTTTCTCAATTTTCAAAATTAGAAAAAATTTGATTCGGATTACTTGTGAAACGAGTTATCAATAATTTGTGTGGATTGAATCATCAGTAACATTACTATAATTTGTAATATTATTATTATTTATTAAATATAATTGAATCAAAATAATGAGGAAATTTTCGCAAGCCTCCTCCTCTCTTTTAAAGTGGAGTTGCAAGAGCTCTAAATCCCGATTCATTCCATCATCATTCTCTCATTTAAAAACATCCAATAATAATATTAATATTATTAATAATCATGAAAGTAAGAGAAATCTCTCCAACAATACCAACAACTCGCCTCCATCACTCTGTAAGTTTTCATCAATTAATTTTAGAAATTTGGAGAATTAAACACTTTTCCACTCAATTCCAAAAACCTACCCACACCTCTTCAATCCAAATAATATCAAATGATGAATTTAAATTCTTCAAGACCAACCTTGCACCATCAACAATACCTCAAACAACACCCAAAATTCTATTATTATTATTGAAAGCCTCCTTCAACAACAATTTCAGCCAACTAATTTAAAGCGCGAGACCTCTTTCGGTACTGATGCACCAACAACACTTCGAAAAAATATTTCCAAACAACTCTTGAAGGAATACTCTCTCGCCGCTGCTAATCATCGTTCAGTGCAAGAATTATCCACTATTACTTCTAGAGGTCAAATACGTAGTTACAGTTCATCTTCATCATCATCAAAATATACAATTTGGATACCTCCAATGTCTAATACAAATTATATTAATCCAGCCACAAATCAAGTGTGGACATCAAAGGAAATTCGTAAGCAATTTGTCGAATTCTTTGAAAAGAAGTATGAACATACATTCGTTCCAAGTAGTTCTGTCGTTCCACATGAAGATCCAACCTTGTTGTTCACCAATGCTGGGTAAGTTTTAAAGCTAGCACACCTATATTTATATTTCTTTACCATCTATTTACTATTGGATTACACATATTCACAATCTTGAATTCCGGAATTGAACAAATTATTGAACAATAATATTATACAATAACTCTTCACAGTATGAATCAATTCAAGGCTATTTTCCTTGGTCAAGCTAGTCCAGACTCTAGTTTGGCTAAATTGAAGCGTGCTGCTAACTCTCAAAAGTGTATCCGTGCTGGTGGTAAACATAACGATCTCGATGATGTCGGTAAGGACACTTATCACCACACCTTCTTTGAAATGTTAGGTAACTGGTCATTTGGTGACTATTTCAAGAGAGAAGCTATTACATGGGCTTGGGAATTGCTCACTGAGGTTTATGGATTGGAAAAGGATAGACTCTATGTCACATATTTTGGTGGTAATGAAAAGCTCAACTTGCCAGCTGACGAAGAAGCTAAACAAATTTGGGGACAATTTGTTCCAGATGATCATATTTTGCCAGGTTCTATGAAGGATAACTTCTGGGAAATGGGTGATACTGGTCCATGTGGTCCTTGCAGTGAAATTCACTACGATCGTATTGGTGGACGTAATGCTGCTCATCTCGTAAATATGGATGATCCAAACGTTTTGGAAATTTGGAACAATGTTTTTATGGAATTCAACAGAAAGGAAGATCAAACATTGGAATATTTGCCAGCCAAGCACGTCGATACTGGTATGGGTCTCGAAAGATTAGTTTCCATCTTGCAAAACAAGATGAGTAACTATGATACCGATGTTTTCATGCCAATCTTTGAAGCTATTCAAAAGGAAACTGGTTCTCGTCCATACACTGGTAAATTGGGTGCTGAAGATGTTGACCACATTGATACTGCTTATCGTGTCATTGCTGATCACATTCGTACCCTCGTTATTGCTCTCTCCGATGGTGGTTATCCAGACAATACTGGTAGAGGATATGTTCTTCGTCGTATTGTTCGTCGTGCTGTCAGATTTGGTGAATTTATGAATGCCAAGAAGGGTTTCCTTACTCGTTTGGCTTCTTGTGTCGTTGAACTTATGGGTGATTTCTTCCCAGAATTGAAGAAGAATTCTGAAAAGGTTGAAGAACTCATTCAAAGTGAAGAAGTTTTGTTCGCCAAGACTCTCCGTGTTGGTTTGAAATTCTTTAACAGAATTGCTGAAAAGATGAAGAGCAATGGTGAAAGTGTTGTTTCTGGTCCTGATGCTTTCAAGTTATATGCTACCTATGGTTTCCCAGTTGACTTGACTTTAATTATGGCTCAAGAACAAGGTATGACTGTCGATATGGTTGAATACAAGAAGGAAATGGAAAAGCACGCTACTGCTTCTCAAGGTACTAAGCAAGAAGCTACTGACATGAAGCTTGGTGTTATTGAAACTGACAAGTTACAAAATGAACTTAAGATTGAACCAACTCAAGATGATATCAAATATGTTTGGGAAAATATTCAAGCTAAGGTTGTTGCTATCTTTAGTGAATCTAGCGGATTTGTTGAAGAATTGAACACTGAATGTGAAGAAGTCAATATTGGTATTATTTTGGATCAAACCAACTTTTATGCTGAAGGAGGTGGTCAAGCTCCAGATAATGGTGTTTTGAGAATTGGTGAAACTGAATTGAAGGTTGTCAATGTTCAAAAGTTTGCTGGTTATATTTTACATATTGTTAACGTTTCTGAATCCAAGCTTGCTGGTAACGTTACTGTTGGTACTACTGTTTCTTCAGAAGTTAACTATGAAAGAAGAGAACCAATCGCTGCTAACCACACCTCTACTCACATGCTCAACTTTGCTTTGAGAAAGGTTTTGGGTACTGACTGTGACCAACAAGGTTCCATTGTTAAGGAAGAAGAATTGTGCTTTGACTTCTCTGCTGCTAAGGCTCCATCTGTTGAACAAGTTGCTGAAGTTGAAAAGATTGTTAATGATCTCATTGTTGCTGATCATCCAGTCTTCTCTAAGGTTCAAGAACGTGATGCTGCTTATGAAATTAATGGTCTCAGAGCCATGTTCAGTGCTAACTATGGCGAACAAGTTCGTGTTGTTTCCATCGGTCAAGACAGTGATAGCATCATGACTGATAGATCAAATGAAAAGTGGCGTTTGATTTCAGTTGAATTCTGTGGTGGTACTCACTTGAAGCAAACCAGTCAAGCTCAAACCTTTGTCATTCTCTCTGAAAAGAGTATTTCAACTGGTAAGAGACGTATTGTTGCTTTGACTAGAAAGGCTGCTAAGGAAGCTGTTGAAAGAGCTCAAAAGTTCTCTGTCAAGATTGACGAATTAGAAAAACTCTCAGACGAATTGTTCTGTCCTCGTTACTATGAACTCACTTCTGAACTTACTTTGCTCACTGATATTCCATTGCTTTCCAAGAAGGCTTTCGAAAAGAGATTGGAAGCATGCCAAACTAAGGTTCGTAAGATCCAACAATCTCAAAAGAAGGATGATGCTGAAAAGGCCAATCAACTCATTTCTCAACTCAAGGAGTCTATTGAACAAAAGTCATTGAAGTCCCTTGTCTACCAATTGGAAGATGGTTCTGATCAAAAGTTCGTCAAGAAGGTTATTGATGCTTTGACCACCATTCCAGTTTGTCTCATTTCTAAGGCTGATGATAAGACTATCATTGTCCTTGCCAGCGTTCCACAAGAACAAACTGCTACTTTGTCTGCTAATACTTGGGTTACTGAAGTTTGTAAGGTTGTTTCTGGTAAGGGTGGTGGTAAGCCAATCTTTGCTCAAGGACGTGGTTCTGATGTCTCAAAGGTTGCTGAAGCTGTCAAGTTGGCTGAAGAAATGGCTAAATTCTAAATTGTATTAATTTTGTAAAAATTTGATAAATTATTTTATTCTAGAAACTTAATCATTTTTTAAGACTATCCAAGTAGGCATAGTAATCTGAAAATTCCCAGTAAAAGTAATCTCCACCATCTAGGAATGACGTATCAGAGTTTATGCTCAACTTCCAACTATCCTCTTCTAAATCAACCTTACTCAATCCACAAATTCCAGCCTTTACATTATGTCTATCTGCTTCTGGAAGAATTACTTCAATTTCTTTAATGACACTTGCTGCATGTGAAACTAGTAACACAAGAGTATTTTCATCACTCTCATCTTTTACAAAATTCCAAACATTATCCATAGCAACCTTTGCTCGTTGTTCCAAATCCTCAACTGTTTCAATTGGTTTTTCATCTAGAAAATATTTAAAAGGATTACCATCTTTTGAAATGTAGGTGGTTTCGAATTGTTTTCCTGTTATATATTCTCCTTGTTGAGAAATATTATTAGCTCTCGAAAATAATTCTTTAAATTGAGTTGAACTGGTTATTTCTTCCAAAGGTTGAGGTATATTCTCAATAGTAAATGACTTTTTCTCTCCAAACCATTCAGAAATTCCATATTCAACATATAGTTCATATTCTGCCTCCTTTTGAAAATCTCCATGATTAGTATGTATTTCATTAACTCCTTTCAAAATGTATTGTGTAGTTTCCAAACATCTTCTATAAGGTGATGTAAATACTATTAATCTCTTCACTCCTCCATTCAATTGATTATCCTTTCCAATATTAGCATTATCACAACAAGTCGATAATGATTCATTGTTTTTAATCAAAAAATTACAAGCCAAATGCTTTCCGAGTCTGAAAGCCAAATCAAATCCTCTACTTGATAATGATGGATTATGTAATGTATTTCCCTCAATTGTTATCCATTGATTAAATTCATCAGATCCTCTAATAAAATCTATTTAAATTCATGATCAACACCATAACAACAACCATTCAATACATATTACAATAATTCCGATGATCATTAATACTATTATTATAAAATACAATCAATACAAACCAATTCTTTCGCCATGTCTTGTAATGAAGAGTTGTTTCATTTTTTTCAATCAATATTATGGCTACACTGCATTGAAATGAAATACATTATGAAATTGAACTGTTTTAATGCATTGGATAATGATGAGAATAAATTATGAACAACAATAGTAGAAAAGGGATCATTGTGAAACAAATAGTAGCAATATATAGTAGAAAAAACAAAATGGTTCAACATTTCTTTAATCAGCAGTAAAGACACAAATTTTACCATCCTCACCTGCAGTCATTAATGTAGTTGGATTTAAAACCTTAACAGTTCTAATCAAGGAATCTTGAGAGTGACCACCTTTCATGACAGCAATCAATTCTTGACTCTTCAAAGAATCAGTCATCTTGAAAACATAGACAGCACCCAATGAGCTAGCATGTAGCATGACACTATCATCACCAACAGAACCAGTTACTTCAATGAATGATAAATTATCTTGAGCATTCATATCCAAAAGTTCAGTATAAGTTTGACTATATTGTCTAAAGTTGTGCCATTCCTCTTCACGTTTCATTACTCTATAATCAGCATATTCATCTTCTGTAGCATCATAAAGCCAAAAGTGAAGGTGATTAGTACTAGAGAGAGCATATAAACAATTGGTTGTTCCCAAAAATCCAAATCTTTCAACAGAATCCTCAATATTCAAGACACCATCAAGTGAATCTTCCAATTCTTCATAAACTTGTTTTTGATTAGACTCGGAAATATCATAAATATGTATCAGACCATCATCAGCACAAGAGTACAACATGTTATTGGAACCAAATGAAACTTGATTAATGCAATCACTGTGAATTTCTTCCATCATTAAATAGGAAGACAATGGTGGATTCTTACGTAAATCACCAACAGCAATTGAACCAGCTTGTGTGGTAGAACCACTTCCGACAGCATACAAGTGTCCATTACCAAAGGAAAGATCAATGGAATTTAATTGTGGAGCAAGTGGAGTAAATTGGAAAGATTGTGTACTCACACAACAAGATTGATCAGGCAATCTCAAATCCCACAAACGAACAGAGGAATCATGAGAGCAGGAAATTAACATATTTTCATTGGTTTTAGAGAAGGAAAGTCCACTGATTTGATTGCTGTGTCCCTTCAGGGTTCTGGTGTGAAGAATTTGTGGTGCTTGAATTTCATGAATTAAAATATCCGAATTGGAGTGAGTAAAACTAAATGTTTTAAATCCTGTAAGAGGTGAAAATTGAATGTTGTAAATGTAGGTTGGTGTTTGGAATGGAGAGAGGTTGATTCTCAAATTGAGAGCAGGTGGAGAGGCATCTGTTGGTTGTTGTGTTGAGAGCATTTTTTTAAAACTGGGCAACTTTTTGTAAGCTTCAACAATATTAGAGAAGATTGGTTCCGATTTTCTATCTGTCTCCAATGCAATTGATATTAGCTTGCAGAATTTCTATTACCTATGTATCCATTAACAACTAAAATCTTGACATAATCTTGTAAGTGTGGTATTTGAAGAAAAAGAATAAATATTATTTTTTAGAATTTTATATTTTAATGTAAAAATGGAGGGCAATTTACTTCTTTTCAGCTTGCTTGGTTTGTTCAGCAATTCTTTCTTGTTGTCTCTTTCTGATTCTTCTCTTGAGATCTTCAATAGCTCTGATCTTTTTCTTGGCACGAGTAAGATCACCGAGTCTTCTCTTGGCGAATCTCAAAGCTCTCTTTTCAGAAACTTCAACGAGATCGACGAGTCTAGCTTCGTATGGGGCAACACCGATGGCTTCTTCGACGATATCCTTGACAACTCTGTGCTTGGATGGCTTTTGGGTCTTGGTGACCTTAGCTCTCTTGGTGGTTGGGAAACCCTTTCTACCAATTCTACCAACGGAAATTCCTGTAGCGACCATTATATGATGTATTTTTTTTCAACAAAACTTTTTAAATTTTTGCGGTTAACCACCAAGTCTAGAGTTTACAACCAATATTTTTACATGCTAAATTTTGCTCTCACAACAAGAAAAGAATGGTGTGAGCGGATATCATCTGGTGGCTTCGTTCGCTTGCTGAAAAAGCTCATCAATTATTGGCACTCTTCGCCTTGTCTTTAATAATACGGAAAGAATTCATCTCCTGATAGTGAATTAACTCGAAAATTACTACTAACTCAATTCAAGAAGATCGATCAATGAGAGTCAAATGTACAATAATAATTCATGCTAAGAAGCTTCTTCAATGAGCAAGAAGTTATATTATCGTGATGTTATCATGTACATCATTTATTATAATAACGTACAACAATATTACACAATTCTCACTTTCATCAACATCAACACCATCAATGGTTTCTTCTCATCATCACCACACAATAACAACGAATACTTTCCGCATCATCATTAATAATCCTCCTCCGACATGCTTAATTCCTTCCTCGTGTGTCGATACACAAACGGTCTTTAGAATAATAATAACCATCACATCTATTATTGTGTAGGCGCATAATTTAGAAAAAAACAAATTAATTCTTTCCCTTCAGCATTATCAAAACATCACAATGACATTGGTTGAAGCTGTTCATCTTGACAATCATGGAGAAAATAATAGTATTATGAATACGATTAGTTATCATACTATTGATGCAATATTTGGACTGTATGGTTCTAATAATTCTTTCAGATATACTGTTCATCCTCATAATACCTCTTCTCCACCTCATAACTTTCCTCTCATTATGGGAAGTGAGGAGCCAGCACCATTTAGAAGAGTTAATTGGTCTATTCATGATACTATTACCATGTTAACAATGGCCATTGTTATATTCATGACAAGGAAAATATTATATGAGAAAGTCCTCAATCCAATGATGAGAAATAACAGATTTAATGTTATTGCACCACTTACTAGAGCCAGATTCAAGGAGAATGTTTGGTTCTTTTCCTACTACTTGTTTGCAACAATTCTAGGTTATTCAATTTTGAGTGAAACCTCATGGTTTAATAATGCATCATTTTGTGTGTTGGAGTATCCACATGGTCATACTGGATACGAAACACCTTACTTTAGATATTACATGTTGATGGGATGTGCTTTTTATGTGCAAGCTCTCTTTACTTTACTGTTTGTGGATGAAAAATTGTCAGACTTTTTGGAAATGGTAGTACATCACATTGCAACAATCATGTTAATTTCCTTCTGTTTAACTTCTAGTCATCATCGTGTTGGAAGTATAGTATTGATTTTACATGATTTTGTAGATATTTTCCTCTATGGAGCTAAAGCTTTCCATCACTTGAAAAACGAAACCATGTCAACAGTTCTCTTTATTGCCTTTACACTTGCCTTCTTTTGCATGAGATTGGTTCTCTTACCTTACATTATTTATTTGGCAGCTGCCAATTTTCATGGATGGGACGATCCTTCAAGATATTACATTTTCCGATATGTTTCAGACTCTATCTTTCCAGCTGAAGTTAGTGATTATGGATGTTGTATTCTGAAATATTGTGCAAGCACTTACTGGTTATTAATTGTATTGTTATGTTTATTGGTTTTGTTGCATGTATTTTGGTTTTATTTGGTTTTGAGAATATTGGTAAGGACTATTAGAGGTACTACATTGGCTGACATTCGTGAGGATGATGGAGAGGGACATGAACATCAGGATTAAATGGATTTTGTTCATTAAAATTCATTGTTTATTAATCCCAACTCCTCTTCGCACATTTAACAAAATGGCAGAAACCCTGTTGACTTTACCTTCTTTAGATTAGAGAATGTAAGTTGAGGTGGCCGAGTGGTTAAGGCGCCAGCCTGCTAAGTTGGTGGAGTAATCCGCGTGGGTTCGAATCCCATCCTCAACGTTTTCTTCTAGTAACTTTTTTTGAAAATTCACAATATAAAGGACATTCATCATTCTGTCTGTAAATTTAATTATTAAAAAATATACATTCAAACTGATCAACTAGTTCATCTTACTTGATATGTTTATCATGATAAACACATGTTGCATGGTGGAGAGAAGGTCTTTAAGGGTGTGAAGTATATTATGAGATCAGATATAATGTATTCGAAACGTGAAGAATTAAAATACTAATTTCTTCTCTTGAATAATGATAAACTTGACAAACTATTCGAATCATAGTATTGAATATTCCAATAAAACTAATTTACTTTCTATTCTTTTTACAATAAACTGGAATATCAAACAAATTCTTATTTTGATTTCCTGCCTTAAAAGTTCCAGAAATGAAATTCCACACAAAAAAGTCACTTTCATTAACCTTAACAGGAGTTCCATCAGTTTCATCTTCCCAATAAGTAGAAGTCAATCTCTTCCACACTCTACAATTAACTCCATTTACAACTTGATTTCCAGCAAATGTTGCATTTTGTAACCAATTATATGGAAGTGGATTGAAACCCAACTCAACAACATTGCACGTATTATTATGTGGATAGAATGAATATTGAGTGAAACCTGCATGGATTTGGATGAGTAATGGTTCGTTGAAGAATTGGATTTCAATTCTTTCGGCTTTTAATTGATAGGAATTGAAGATACGATAGGTGGCAAGTTTGGAAGGATTGGTATCGACAAAACCACCTGAATTTTGATAGGCAAGGGTTGACCATTCGTATGGCCAAATTGGTCCTGTTTGGAAAGATGATGAAATAAACAAGACGAAAGTTAAACTAAAGAGAAGGAATGTGACGAGTTTGATCATGGTGTTTGCTATTTTTTTTTTGAATCTTGTTTTGTTTGATTCGCGTGTTAATTGATAACGAATCATGGTTGATACGGAGATAATACGGGCGGTCTTTGGAGTTGATTGATGCTCAACTTCGGAGATGATAATGAAAATTCCAAAGACAAATTCACTGTTTCTGCAATGTAGCTCAACAACATTTATTACAACAGAAAAGATGACAATATGATATTATGCCACGTTTTGAGAATCAATAGTTAGATTGATTACACTAGATTACACAATTTCATTTTTTTATTTTTATATGACACTTCAAATTGATGTAATGTTTTTGATGCAATATTTTTGAAATACACGCACTGAAAACCTTCAATTCATTGTTGCATTTTCAATATACATGTGAAACAAATAGTTCAATGTGTAAATACCCAACTTGTTTTTTTTGGAAATTCACTTTATTCATTTTGTTTCTTTTGTGAAATGCTGTATTTTCGGTTTGTCCGTTCCAATATAAAAGGATCAAAGTTTTTGACTCAATCTAAACAACACTAAAGAAAATGATGCAAGGTATTAAAAATTTGATATCATCTTCAAGCAGTAGTTCAAGCTCCTCACCTCCTCCAGCAGGAATGCACCAAGCAGAGCAAAACATTAGCGACCTTCATTCCACTTACAATGCCAATGTTCAATCTGTACAAAGTGGATCACGACCTGGTCATAGTAGTAGTGGCAGCAGTGCACCTTTTGATCACCATGCTGTTGAAGTTACCGCTAACGGCAGAACCTTCCAAGTAGAGAAAGGCCCTGGTTATGGAACAGAAGGTGGTGATACCATTGTAAAATCGTCCAATATGCAAAATCCAAACTCTGGATGGAAAATGGAGGGTGAAAAGCAATCAGTTCAGGGAGCAAATGTTGGAGATTTTGTTAAGGCAGGAGGAACTGACTATAAACTTCCAGGAGATACCTGTATTCAAGCTAAGGATAGAATGATGAATGTTGGTAAAGAAGATACAACTAGTAGTGACGCCAAGTAATCTCAATATATATCCTCAATAAATCTATATATATGTAAAACAATCAATATTATTTGATTTGTAATAAACACAAATCTATAACATGATTACTGGTGTAATATCATGATCATGATTCTGTCTTTTGTGGTGGAAGTGTTTGCAGTTTCCCTCATTGACACAATTATTCAAAAAAGTGGATGAAAAAAGACCAGATTATTTCACCTTGAAGAATTCCAAGTTTGAATTGTCCAAATTAAGACAAATTTACAGCAAAATTCCTTTGCCTTAAACAATTTTAACAACAAGGAAATTAAAATTCCTCATCTTTATCAACTCGGGTTAAAAAAACAACAGAAAACAACATATGGTCAAGACATTGCTCTCTGCTGCTGCTTGTGTTTTGTTCTTCATCACTACGACTGCTTGCATGGTTAGTGCCATTGCACTTCCTTCTATCCCAGTCAGCACACGAATTTATATTGGTAAGTATATAGAGAAAAGGATATATAATATATTACTAACTAATTTATTCAATGTCATCATCATGATCATCATTAAATTTGTGTCATGATTGTTTGCACCAGGTGGTTCTTTCACTACCTTGAACGATACAAGATATAATAATGTTGCCTACTATGATTTGAAGGAAAAATCCTTTAAGGCCATGGAAAATGGTACTAATGATGAAGTTAAGGTTCTTACTACTGATTCATATGGTAATGTTTATATTGGTGGTGCTTTCACTCAATTGGGAACCAAAAAGAGTGGTCCACTTGCTGTCTGGAATGTTTATCACTCTAAATGGGTTGATACTGGTCTTTCTTCATCAGATTTCACTCCTGGATCTGTGGTTACTGCCATCAGTACTGAATGTACAAACTCATATGATTTTGATTCGACACAAGGTCTTTTTCCTTGTGATATTTATATTGCTGGTAATTTCAAAGCTTCTGTCTCTGGTAGTAATGCAACAAACATCTTGTACTATCACCACAAGAATAAGAAATGGGAAACACAAGCAACCTTGAATGCAACCTATATAACAGTTATTTCCAAGGTTGTCAATAACAATATGGTATTTTATGGTGGTAAATTCCATGATGCCAATGGTAAAGAGTATGGTCTTGCCATGTATGACACTTCAAGTAGTTCGTGGATTATGATTGATGGTGTCAGTGGTGTTACTGATATCTATTATAATTCACATATTTACAGCTCAGATAACATGTTTATTTCTGCTTCTATTTTCGCTTATTCTCAATGTAAGGGTATATGTAACTTCAATCTAAGGGATGGATCTTGGACAACACGTTCTGGTATTATTTCCACAGGTTCAGTTAACAAGATTAGATACATTAATGGTTTGTCTGCCTCAAATGTTGGTTCAATATTTGTTGGTGGAAGTTTCATGAGTGAATCCTCTGTTGGGAGACGTGATGGAACTGGCGAGTACAGTGCCATTAGTACTAACTATCCTAAAGAAACTGTTCTAGGTATGGATATTTGTGGTTTGAAAGCTTATGACGTTACTGGTTGCAAAGGTGGATCAGTAGCTGTTGTTGGACAAAACTTCTTCAAGTTCTATGATGCTAATGATAACATGTGGAAGTCTCTCCTTTCTGAAAATGGGTTCGTATTGAACAGTATTAGTATTACCAATATTCCAGAAATGCCAATACCTTCACCAATACCCTCACCATTTCCAAGCAGTGTACAAGCTAAAATAAGCTCAAGTGAATGCAATAGTTTTAAGGTTCTTTTATTCATTACATTCCTTTTCATTTTTCATTTAATAAATTAAACCTATTCGACAAAGTTGCTGCCTCATGAACAATTCCAAATCAATACAAGATGAATAATGATGAATTGATTCGATTATTGTGTACTTATTGTTTAAATTGTGGAATTATAAGGATCCATTCCCAAAAGAATTGGAAATGATTACAATGTAGTAATTGAAAAATCCTATTTCAATGAAGAGTGGTTGCACTTTCTCATATAATATATCAAATGATTACAATTTATCAAAAATTGGATTAACATTTATTTAAAAAGTTGGCCAAAGTACCACGAAGAGCATTATTTGTTCGTGAATTTCCGTGCATCTGTCTCCACACACTGAGAGAGGCTGGAGCAGACTTGTCAACTTCAACTCTTTGAGGAATGGCCAATTGTTGCTTCCATTCGGCTACTTCAACACTCTTTGGGATGGCTTTGGAAAGAGATTCAACCTGCTTCTTGAGCATTGCATTTTCTTGCATAATTCTTTGATTTTCCAATTCCTTTTGGTGGAGTAAATTTAAAAGTTCTTCTTCGCGAGATGTAGACTTTTTCAACAAGTCTTGTTCCTCAATCTTCTTTGTTTCCAAAAGTTGTTGAATAGTTTTGAATGTCTCCTTTAAACTTGTAACTTCTTCAGTTCTTGCTTGGACAATCTTTTCCAAATCTGAACGCAATGAGAGTTCAGTTTGAAGAGCTGTTTGTTGTTCCTTTTGCACCAATTCTAATTTTGTTGCAAAATCCAATTCCTTTTCATTCAAAATACGTTTCCATGAAATTTCATCATGGTCATGTTGCTCCTTCAATTGGGTCTTCATTGATTCAATAATTGCCTCAAATTCAGCACTCTTCTTTTCCAATGATTGACGAAGTGGAGTAATTACACTAACTTCAATTTGATCCAATTCTTCTCTTGTCTTCTTCATTTTGGCCTTGAAGTGTTGAGTTCTATCAATCAAAATATCAATCTTCTTGGTGGAAGAAGTCTTGGATTCTTCCAATTGCTTTTCAAAATTGGTCTTTAATGAGACCAATTCTTCTTGAAGCTTGGAAAGCTGTTCCAATGCTGCATTGTGTTCTTCAGTCAAGGTTTGAACACGTTTTTTCAACTTTTGATTGGACTTTTTCAATTTGACATTCGAAGTCTTGGCTTGATATTCCTCTTCTTCATCCAAAGAAGCAAGTTTAGCTTTTTGTGCACTCTGATAAGCTTCACTGCTACAATCATCAGAGGATGTAGATGAAGCCAAAGAGAGTGAGCTTCTTGGTGAGGTTAATGTTGTACTGTATTTTGAACGTGCAGAGAGGAGAATTACAGTAGCTCTATCTTCCAACTCCTCACAATCACTGAATACTTCTTGATCGGAGTTGTGTTTTCCTTTAAGGTCCTTAGGAGTGGAAGGAGATTTTTCAAGGGCAATTTGAGGAACAGCTGTTTCCTTAGTTTGTTTCTTCTTCTTTGGTGTATTCTTAGTCTTTGTTGAGGTAGTAGTTTGTGGAGATTTAACTGTTGTTGATGCATTATTACTAGTTGTGGTGGATGAAGACATTTGCAACTTTTCCTCCAGTGAAATAAGGTGAAGACCTGTTGGCTTTTTAGCAGCAAATGATGAAGTGGATGTATTGTTGTTATTATTGGTAGTTGTAGTAGTATATTGATTATGGCTCGATGTAGTGTTATTATTAGTCTTGTTATTAGTAGATGTGGAAGTAGATTTGTTCATTGGTAAAGTCTTCTTATTATTGACTTGATTCTTCTTCTCTTGAACAAATGCTGACTTGGCAAGGGAGGAAAGAGATGTTTCGGCAAGGAAAGAGGCAGGAATTGTAAAAACTGGCTTATTTACATTGGTAGTAGTAGTAGAATTGGATGTTGTAGAATTTGTCTTTATCATTTTCTCTATTGTTATGTGTTCTAATAAATTATATATGATACAATTATATGATTATATTCGCTCGGGATACTAAGTGTTATTGGTTTGTGTACAATTAAATTCTCTAAACAAGTTTTGCTATTCGTTTGTCTTGCTGTTTTGTGTTGTTGGTCAGAGAATCCTCAGAGTTTAGGAAGGATAATGATTTGGATTGTTTTTTTAATGAAAAATGTTGTTCAGGATTCTCATCACAAACGTTTCACTATCAATTTGATAATAAAATTATTTTTATATTTTTAAAATGTGCAACGGCTGCGATTTGTCAGCTTTCGCACATAATGATCAATTGGCGCCAAAAAAAATTCTACAGTAAAATACAAAATTTGCTTCACCCTTGTTCCTTAATAATGCTTTGATTTTTTCATTATCATCATCACTCGAATATGTATTAATATATTAATTATTTATGATGAATATGAATTTCTGTTCGGGTTGAATTGAAATATTGCTGAGCAGATGAAAAACCCTTATCAATCATATCACTAATTTCCTTAGCATTAAATCCGATGAAGTAACCTGGAAGCCAATGTTTAGGTAGGAAGGCTCTTATTTGCACATTTGGATCGTCCTTGTAAATTAATCGAGCATTTTCCAAATCTCTCAACAAGATATCCATTGCAGAGTTATAAATTGTTTCTAATAGAATGAAAGGTGTGGTATTGAATTCGAATAATTTCGGATAAGGAACTGAATTGATAGCTAGAATCACATCAATTGTAATCCTACCCTGAACCTTTTCATGGGGAGACAATCTGTCTCCATTGGATTTTAATGAAGTGTAATTATTGTAAACTTTCCTAGTGAGATTCTTACACTTTTCAATGGCATCACTTATTGGAGTCATGTATTTCATTCCACCATCAACGTACAACTCTCCATCAATATCAACAGCTGGGAATATTCCAGGAATAGCTGAGGATGCAACAATTGCTCGAATCAAATCCTTTTTCGTTTTGACATTGTCATTAGTAAAGACACGATATGAGAATTTTCTAAGATTTGAGGCACCAATTCGCCAATATCTATTCGAAGTTGGAATTGGGGATGTGTGGAGAAGTGTGGAATCATTAATGTTTTGATATAGATATTGGTAGAGAGGAGCAGTGTTGAATAGTCCTGATTCGTATAGGAAACCTTGTGCTAATCCGAATGGTTTCCACTCTGTGTATACATCTGAGGATTTGATGGAATGCCACTTGTCCAGAATGAATTGAATGGCATCTTTCTCTTTTCCTATTGGAAATTGAGCGAAAGAAAGAGCATTAATTGAACCACATGAATTTCCAGTTACTACATTATACTGAGTTTCTTCTTTCGGCCTATTTTCTACCAAATATTTCAAAACACCAACTGTTTGCATTTTCCATGCATCAGAATAGATTCGAATAAGTTTAAATTGTAAAATTTAGACAATGCTTACTCTCAAACGATCCTCTATCACCTCCTGATCCCAATGCAATTGCTCTACAATGATCCAAAACTTGAGAATGGGACACATTTATCAATAGAACCAAAAACACAACAAGTAATGGAATTAATCTTTGCATTTTTTTGATTTTTTCATCAAGAGAGCAACTTTCTTAATTTGAACAATTTCCAATAATGAAACTTGTGATATTAAGAATTTGAGAAATGTGAAGATCAGAAACAATGGATCTATTTTACAACAATAATTGCTCTTTGTTATTCGGTTCCTGTTGACAATCCTAGATTTCTATAGAAATGAAAATTTCTCGACATGCATTTCGGATATTTATTTTTTATTATTTTGAAAACAATCAAAATAGTTAATAGTTAATTCATTGTAAACTCAACAATTAAAAATTCACCAAATTTAGTCAATTGAAAATTTCCTAATTGACCAAAAAGTTCTTTGAAAACAACACCAAAAAAATGTCATCACCAGAACCTATCCTCCACATCAAACCAAACCTTCTCCAAGAGAGCGAAGCCTTTTCCTCCAAATTATATTCGCATCCAAACGAACGTGAATTATTTTCCTATTTTTCAATCATGAGGAAATGTGCACAGAAATCTCATCACCTGAATATTAAACAATTTGATAGGGATTTAGTTAAAGAAGGACAATCAAAGTATCCACACGCTATGGAGGAGATTTTTGAGAGTGTTTGTGTTGGTAAGTTTCTGCATTGAAATAGTTTGGAATAGTTTGGAAGTGAATGAATTATTGGAAAGTGTTCCTTGTATTGGAAAGAAGTATCCGAGTGTTTTGGATGAAAGTGTGGACGAGAGAAGAGCTGAATTTCTTCAGGATTTGAAATCTTGTGCAGAGTTTAAAACAGCTGCCGATAACAAGTTTAAATTAGTTTCGAATGATGAAGTTTTAACAAGAAATAATCATCTCGTGCAGAAATATGATCAAATGCTGGAACAAAACGGATCCATTACAAGATTTCCAACACTATACAGTCATTTACAACATTCTTCCACTACTGTAGATCACTCAACAACAGTTGATCAACTTGTGAAAAAGCTCAACATTGAAGAACCAGTGAAGGAAGTTGCTAAGGATTTGCATTCATCAAGTCCTAACATGGTTTCTCTCATCTACAATTTATCAACTGCATTCTGTAGAGAACAAATCTTGGATTGTATCAAGAGAAGTTCTGCAAAATCATTGGATCAGGCATCATTTGTCAATTTGAGTACTTGCTTGGGAGGATCCTGCACTGCAAAAGTATTGGAATATTTGAGTGAAAAATCTCGTGAGTAAATCTCTAATTGAGCATTTAATTGGATTCATGTCGAATTTATTGAACTGTCGGAAATGTTTCGAATTATTTTACTACATCCGCTACTTCATAACTTGATATGTAACTCTCTTGAACTTTCCTTCTTGCCATTTTGCAATAATCATTTGCTTGTTCCAATTTATAATAATTTTCACAATATTTACTTCCACTTTCATTTCTTTGTAATTTGTAATTTTCTAATTGAGTTGGAAATTGTTCAAAATCAATCTTGACAACAGACATGGCTTTTCCCATGATAGAAGATAGTTTTAATTGGAATATCTTATAGTAATTGACAAATAATTGATTATTACTTTTCATTTCCTGATAGAGAGGTTTTGAAATTAGAAATAATTTTGGTATTTCATAAAGTGGAAGAAATGACATGGTGTGAACTTGTATTTCTATTGGAATTTGTTTTGGAAAGTTTGCTAGTGTTGGTGGCAGTTTGTCACTGATAATTGTTTGCTCTGGTGAGCGAGTTGGTTCCTTCTTATTTGTATTTCCCATTTTTTTTAGTTATTTTTATTCGAAATGTCATATCGGTTCGGCAGGCCTGAGAACTTGAGATGAAATAGGTAACTTTGCTAATATTTACACAGCCATTAACTCTCTTTCCTTTGGGAGTTCTTTCTAGCAACAGATAACTGAAACAATGCCAACCACAATAACCGGAGTCTCAGTATATGTGGTGAGTGGTTGTCTTCTCAATTAAAACCAACGATGAAACTGAACTGGAATAGTTCCCAATTATGCTTGAATTTGAATAAACAATGGACCAATTTCAGATTTCTTTCTTCGAGTAATTATTTTGGAGTGTTTTTCCACTCTTTACTTGAAAATAAATAGTTACCATTCCATCGCATTGTAACATTAAAAAAAATGTCTCAACAACCAGAAATGAATCACACAACTTGGTTTGATCAAGATTTGCTGTTGGCCAATGTGTTTCTCTATTTACATCCGTATGAATTATTTAATAATTCTATTAAATCATCTACATGTAGAAATGTTTGCCGATCATGGAACGGTTTAATTTGTGGTGAAGAATTTTGTAAATTTTATTTTGAAAACTCGTTTTGTTGTTATTCGTCCGAACCTTTTATTAATAAGTTAAATTGTAATCAATTGTTTGATACTTTAGATGGTGCACAATTTAATTGTTTTATGGATGAGGATGATGATGATGAAGAGAGAGAATTAGTTGACCTTGGGGATGATGATGAGGATGAGGATGATATTCAAGAGGAGTTTAAGCCTATTAATAATTTAACAGTTCAAGAATCTATTAAACAATTTGAACATGAGGCAATTACTAAAATTGGATATGAATTCAATAATTTAAATTGGAAAAATAATTTCTACAAACGATTTCTAACACTAATTGCATATTTAAAAGATATTGATTCTGCAATTTGGGGTGTAACTGAATCGTTATTAAAACCATTAGATGATTCAAAAGTATTTAAATTAAATAATTTATTGAAAAAGTGGAAATTATCAAAATTATTATCCAGTAATATATTTGAAATCAATGAAAAGACAATATTATTTTTTAATGATGATGGAATACCATATGTATTAAGATCCATTCGTAAAAGATTAATTCTTGACAATACTGAGATTATGAAAAATATTAAATTTGGATTTGACAAGGAAAGGATCACTAAAGTCCTTCCACAACTTGACAATCAACAAGACCAACAAGTGTTGTGTGATGTAATGTGTGGATTATTTCCAAGCTTAGTAGAACAAAAGAAGAAACTGCTAATTAAAAGGCCACCATCAGCATATATTATATTTGTAAAGAGAGCAAGAGAAAAAATTACACAAGAAAATCCTACAATGACTGTTATGGAAATTTCTAAAAAAATGGCATACATTTGGAAAGATATGAATGGTGATGACAAGCAATTTTATGTAGAACAAGCAATTCAAGAAAAATTGAAATATCAAAAACAAAAAGAAGAATTCGTATATTGTATTAGTGGATTAGATGAAAATGTTAATTAACAAGAGGATGGCAAGAATTAACATTGAGGGATCAATAATTAATAAATGGATTTCATTCATCAACAGATTCTTTTGGAGTGGTTTTTAGAACTATTTACGACTATTGTGATTGATTAGATTGTTCAATCAATTCTCAAACATTGATAAGGATTTTGTAATATTTCTAAATTGAAATTGCATATTTATGGTTGGGATGATTATCTGTTAGAAGGATGGCTCTCTGATACAGTGGAATAGTTTTGAGTATTTGATTTTTTTTTTCTTGTTTTACATTGTACAATTTTGGCAAATGATTAAGGCTATTCCTATTCGTCTCACTACTTTTTCGTTATTTTTTATTCTTTCAATATTAGCTAAAGTTCAAATATTTTGATCTCCAAAACGAGAGGGTAATACCTTAACTCCAATTTTTGCAATCTTCTTACTCACATAATTTTCTCCTTCCTCAACAAGTAATCGTTCTCCATTGTAAATAACTTCATTGTAAGGAAGATAGGTAGCCCTACTCAAATAAAGTGAAATACTGTGTGCACTGTGAATGAAATGAGATCCCTTTTCAAAGACAATATAGAGTTGGACAAATAATTCGAATAGTTCCATGACGAATGTTTGTGTTGGTGTTTCATCATGATCATGATCATTTCTATAAATTTAATTGGTAGATTGTTATATTCATGTACAATAAATATTGGAAACTTTACCTTTGATAGGCCTTAACTAAGAATACAAAGTGAACCAACACAATAATTACTGAATATAATACATAGGTAAAGTAAATTCCACCCTCAACCCAATTTAGCTTTGTATTGAGAGGTTTCTTCATTTTCAGAGAAACCAACTCTTTAATATATCGAGCTGTGAACAAGATGAGAAGAATGGCCATATAAGAATAGGAAAATACTTTGAGAACAACTTGAAAATCAATCTCACTCTGAGGCATTCCCTCATAGGAGTGAACTGTTCTATTCGCTTGCATGTACGTAATTGTCACAACCTTAATCAACAAGAATGGTCCATCATGGTCGGAGAATTTTCAAAGAGAATTAGAGTTAAATGGCAGATCACACTTACCTTCATCATTGTGTAGAGATACATATTTAATCGACGATTACCGAGTGAGTATTTGAAAATCTTGCCCAGAATATCCTTCACCTGTTGAAATCTATTTGTGTGATCATGTTGATCCGAAATGGGCAAATCATGATATTCCAATGTATCTGTTGAACCACTTCTTTCCCTTTGCTGCCTTATTGAATGGTTCTCACCCTCTTCCAGAGGTACTTCCCCTCTCATGGAGGAGGCATTGAATGGTACATTCATTTGACTATGATAATATTCATGGGTCGTCATATTTTTTAATATTTTGTTTATAAATTAGGTAGAATGTTAAAATTATGTTAATTTTCAATAGAAAGTGTTGGAGGATGAGTGTTTAATCCACATATTTTACCTTAATTCCCATTACTATAACATAATAATTAACATAATTGTGATCCGAGAGCTCGAGTGAAAATTTAGAAACCACCTTGATTTCCAAAGACTTGTTGAATTTGAGTATTGTAGGAATTGATTGGTCCAATCCATTGTGGCTTGTTGATGGTGAGCCAATCCCATATAATACCAGCTTCAATCTTATCAGCAAAATTAATACTAGTGTGGAAACCATCGAAAGCTTCAATCAACAAGTATGGTGGAATGTTATTCTTTGCACAATAGTCAAGCATCTTATCGAGTGGGAAATCCATGTAACCCAATTCAATATTTTGCAATTTGACAGTTTCAGAAACCTTTTTAGCAACCATGGATAAATCTTGAGCTCTTTGTGAGGCAGCATTTCTACGAGTGGCATTGGATGTGAGCCATGTTGGACATGGATTAGCACCAGAGCAAGAAAGGAAGTTATAGAGACCTTCATAAGTACAACCCAATGGGTGAGTTCTGTTGTGCATTTGATTGAACAAGATTCTACCATCAACCAATCCCATCAATAATAATTTGCTGTTTGGTGGAGATCTCTTATCGAGAACATTCAAACCACTAATAAGTCTTTCATAATATTGATCTGTAGTGGTCATTTCACTCAATTCATCCTTACAGACATCATTACCAATATAAGCCAAAAATCCAAGATATGGCAATGAATTTGGAGTCATGGAAAGTCCAGGAATTTGATCACTCAAAAAGTTTTCAATCTTACCACCATTGTGGCCAACATTTTGATATTGTCTATGCATACACAAGTTACGTTGTCTCATTCTCAAATAGACAGAACCATCATCACCAATCAAGGAAGAATTCCAACCAGTTGACCAACACTTTTGTGGCCAATCAAATTCATCTTCCAAAACAAATCCTAAATCAGACATGTTATCAACATCCAACCATTCAGGTGGAACGTGGAAACCACTTGAAGCACTATCACCAAACATGATAACTTGTCTAGTAGTAACATTACAGTACAAACTTTCATAGGACTCGCCAGTCTTTGGTTCAGTTCCATAAACTCCATTACAGTTCATATCTCTGTTATTTTGATTGTTATCATAGATACCTGGCTTGATTCCAGGATTCTTGTCATCACAATCCATACCTCTCCAATCAGCATTTCTAAGCAACATGTGACTGCCAGGGAACAAGTCGTGATCATCATCACCAGCTGTTGGAACAACAGGTTGACCTCTCACATTCAAACCACCAGCTTTAGCAGGTGCCATCTTTTTCTTTAACAAGACCAAAGAAACAATCCAAGCTCTCAAAAGGGCAACAACTTGTGCCTTCTTTTCCTTTTGTAATTGAGCAGCATCCTTGTTATTTTCCTTTTGAGCTAACTTTTCAAATTTGGCAGTGACCATATCCTTGACAAGTTGATTCATCATTTCCTTGTTCTTTGTAAGTGCTGGAAGTTGGAGAGCATTCAATTGTGCCAAAACTTCACCCAATTCTCTCTTTGCATTTTCAGCATATTCAACACTGTATTTTCCAGTGAGTGTGCTATTATCCAATCTACATCCATTACAACTGGCAAATTTCATAGCGACACAAATTTCAGTTGCAGGATAATCCTTCAACAACATATTTACAATCACATCAAGAGCTCCCTTGACCAACAAGTCACAAACCAACTTGTATTTCGAATAGTGTTCAGGAATGGCATCACAAATCTTTTCAGCAAACAAGTCGAGTCTTGGATTTTCCTTATGGATTTCATTTTCAACCATTGTCAACAAGACATTGCAAATGGTACAATCAAAATTGTTTGCCCTCAGTTTATCAGCAGCTTCCGAACTGATTTTAACATTTCCAAAACCTGCAACTTGATGATATGAAATGACAAGAATCATCATGATCATTGCCAAAATACACATTCTTCCCCATCCTATAGTAGTAATGCATTTTCCACAGTAACAATAATAATATCATCATGTTTAAATATTTCATCAAATGAAATTTCATAAAGATAACAAGAAATATAAAATCATTTTGTGTGGTTGGAAGAATATGAACCAAGCTGTTGAAAACACAATTACTTACTCGATGATGATGTTCGCTGTTGTTGTAGAGACATTTTTTTCAGCTTGGTGAAAGGCTTATCCACAACAAGAATCGCCCTTTGTGATTCTTCAACAATCTATGAAGAGTTACAGTTTACTAGATTTTGAGATATATTGGAATAGATATTTATATTTTGCATCCATATTTTACATGACAAGGCAGTTCAATAATCCTTGCCTTTGAGGTGGCTGTGGTTGCGGATTGTTTGGTTGTGGTTGCTGTAGTTGTTGTGGTTGTGGAGGAATAATGAGAGGCCTTATTCTGGCTGGCACTGGTTGAGGGTTTGGTTGCGGAATTAATTGAAGAGGTATTTGATTATTCACAGGAGGATTTACTTGTCTTGGACGAATAATTTCAGGAGGAACATCAAAAGTAAGGCAAGAACCAGCTCTAAAATGTGCATAAGTTGCTTGTCCTGTTGCAAATCCTTTCAAACATAACCAACAAAAATGTTGTCCGCAATAACAACAAGCTAAAATAAGTGAACAAGTGAGCTCACTAATAAATAGATTCAAAAACTTACTCATATGATTGCATCCTTCACTCTTTTCAATTCGTTGGGAACAACTTGGGCATGGCTTTGTTTTGGTATTCATCCACTCTCTTGTTTTGTCCTCGTCTCCACATTTTTGTCCCTTGTGTGATTTCTTTTCACATTCCTTACAAAAACTCAAGTTACAGGTTTGGCAAATAATGTCTGAACCATCAATTCGACAAACAGATCCACAATTTTTTGGGCAATACTTGTATGATTCTGGATTTTCTAGCAAAAAGTCCTCTAATGCTTTTGTATATGTCTTCTCTTGTTTGGTTTCGAGGTACATCAATATTTCAGAAATGGATAAATCCATTTCACAACATGAACAAACAAAGCTATTTGGATTTTGAATTTGAAAACGAAAACAATCTTTGCAAATCTCGTGGTTACATCCTATTGTTCTGAAAGGATTTGTCATTCTCTCAAAACAAATTGGGCAATCGTCATCAGTGTGTTCAACGTTATGGTTTTGTTCATAATTTTCCATCAATTCAGTCACATATTGTTGAATAGCATGTTGGTCCTTTTCGTTACCATCCACTATTAATTCCTTGGTTTTGACATTTAAAGAAATATCACAATTAGCAAACTGTGTTTTAAGCTCTTGGAATGGTTTTCCTGCATTTCCTGTTATGGATTTTAAATATTTGAGATGAATCGTTAAAGTTTTAGAGTGACCTTCCACAAGCTGCATGATTTCCTCTTTGGCGTTGTGTTTGTCATCAATCAATCCAAAAATTTCTATTGTTCTGGTCTTGGAGTTTATAGAAATAAATACTTGATTCCTGTTTTCAATTTGGTCAAGTTGCTTTCTTTTTCTAGAAGCGTATTGGATTGTTTGATGAGTGAGGTGTAATGATAATGGCTTCACAAGGGCAACAACATTCTTTTTGGCTTCATTAAAATCTTCCAGGTTAGCAGATTGAATCGAAATTTCAGTTTTGTAATTTTCTGCATTTTTGCGCGAAGTATTATATTTGATTTTTGCCTTACAGTTATCAATCAAGCATTGTAATTCAAATTTCAAAAGTTCAGTTACTTCTGTTGGTACTGTAACTGAATCTCTGTGAATAGAATTGGCCCATAAAATTGCTCCCATAAATTTTGTGGAATTTAGAGCTTGTGCAGCGCTTTTAGCATCTTTTTGATCAGTAAAACAAACCAAAGCTTCTCCAAATTGTTTATACGTATCTATATTCAAAATGTCCAGAAATTCAAGACTCTGGAATGATTGAACTTTAGAAAGTAATACTCCTTGGATTAAATCATTCTCTACTACAACTGGACGTCTTAGAATAGAGACGAAATGATAATCAATATGTCTATTATCCAGTAATACTTTAACAAATTTTGCATCGATATGGTCGTAAATATTGCGTATCTCAAGAGTGTCCTTGTTCTTCGTTTTTTTAATCTGGAATCTGAGTCCAGCTGGTCCTAATTGTGATGAAAATATTCTATCATGCGTAATATTATTAATAGTGGCAGAATTATTCCCATTTTTAAAACCAATCAAGCAATATCCGTTATTTGGGCCTATATTCCATTTTAATCGAACCAACGCAGATTCATTACTACTTTTGGTGTTAAATAGAACAGGAGTTAATTTGTAAGTTTCTTTGAATTTGTGATAAACTGTAGTTGCAACAGAAAAGTTTGTAAATACTACGTAGCCACTAGCAAATGAATCATTAGGTAAAGAGGAATAAACACGTGCATCAAGTGTATGGTATGGTAGAAACAAGTTTCTTAAAGTATCGTCATCACAACCTAATGGTAGATTATCGACCTGAAGTTTAGTAAACTCGTTTGGGAATATTAATCCTTTCACTTTACAACCACTTGATACCATGATTCGTAATCCACTCGAATCATCATCCAATCCATTTTCAATTTCCAATTCTAAAATTTGAGATAAAGCCCTCTTTTTTGCTATTTCTATTACTTCCTTAATTTGAGAAATAATGTTAAATCTTTCGCCTTGATCACAGTAGACCTTAATTGAAGAATCTGTTGAATCAATTTCTATTACATGCCCTAACTGTCTTTCAACTTCTTCAATGAATTCTGTGTTTCTAAATTTTAAATCTTCACTAACTATTGAAGGTAATTTCACTCTGAGTTCTTCTTTAACTTTACTGACAATCATATTGGTTTCTAGTTGTGGATAAAAATGAAGTATTTCCTTCAAATCAATTGGTGTAATATTCCTCATATAGAGCTTGTCAGTTCTAACTAGATCTGAAAATAGTATGAAAGGTTTAGGATCTCCCAAAAATTGATGAGATGAGTTATGTATAAATGCTCGTTGCTTTAGAGAGGGAATGTAATACACTTTTGTCATATTTGGCAAATATCCGTCAAAATAGGCAAGGTTTTGATATTGGCTTTCAATTATACTTTCTTTCAAAAGTTGTTCTTTTGAAATACATTCCTTTCTAATTATTCTTTTCTTTTTAAAGAAATTGATTTTGTTCTTAAAATCCTTCAAGTTCATTTCAGCATTCTTTAGGTATTGAACATTAATATTATTTTTTAAGGACCATTCCTCTTTGTTGGACTGTTGTGAATACTCTTGAAATATTTGTAACAGAGAAAACAAATCTCCACCATCATTATGAAATAAACTCTTGCTCAACAATTTTGCTTGTGATTTTTTAAACAAAATATCAGATATACTCATCATTGAAACAATAATAACCATTAAATCAGCTACACCCTTCAAATTTGCTTGAATAATCATTCTAGACAGTGTTGGTTCTGTCTGTAACTCACAAGCCATAGTGCCAAACTCAGTGATGACACCTTCATGAACAAAGCCAAGCTTTTCCAGAGATCCAACCTCTTTAGTGATTCTTTCTATGGATGGCATTTCTAATAGTTCAAAAGCGTTTATATCGGTAACACCACATGATAATATTTGCAAAATAGATATACCAAGATGACTTCTCATAATTTCAGCTTCTGAAGCTAATTTCATTCTCTGATATTCTACTTGTGGATATAATCTATAACATATTCCAGAACTATTTCTTCCTACTCTTCCTTTCCTTTGCAGAGCACAGGATTGAGAGATGGAAACAGTTTTAAGTATTGACATATTCCTGTCATTATCATAGAATTTTTGTCTCATTAATCCAGAGTCTATAACTATTCTTAATGAAGGAATAGTAATGGATGTTTCTGCAACATTTGTCGAAAATATAATCTTTCTCATAGACTTTGATTGATCGAAAATCTTTTTCAATTCAAAACTATCAATTTTTCCATGTAGAGCAATTATTTGGCAAGACGTTCCAAGGCTCTTTTTAGCCATTTTGCAACATTTGGTAACATCTTCTCTAGATGCAAGAAAAACCAGAATATCTCCTTCATGTAGATTATTCTTGACAATGTCAGTAACCTTTCTAGTTGCCTGTTCACAAGTATTTGCTTCTCTTGAATGAGAGAAATACTCCACAACAGGGTAACTTTGATGTTCTAGTTTCTTGATTGGGCAGTTATCAAAAAACATTGAAAACAAATCTTCATTGATTGTTGCAGAGGATATCAAGACTTTTAAGGGATTGTTCAAAGCTCTTCTTCTCTTTACACAATCCTTTAATAATGAAAGTAGAATATCGGTATAAATTGATCTTTCATGCGCTTCATCAACAATAATAATAGAATAACTTAATAGGAGTTGATCATTCTGATACTCATTCAATAAACAACGATCTGTGACAAAATTAATAGATACTCTGTTGTTCCTTTTCCTTTTCTCGCCAAGCTTGCATGAAACAATAGATTTATCTCTCAATTCTTCAGAAACTCTATTAGCAAGAGTGATACAGGTCAATTTTCTGGGTTGTGTGCATGCTATTGATTTATAGCCATGTTCTAAAAGATACTGAGGAATTTGGGTACTCTTTCCAGCACCAGTAGAACAACTACAAATAACAACATCATTCTGGTCCAATAATTCCAAAATTTCGTTCCTTATCGAATAAATTGGGAGTCTGTTGGTGGTAATCCTTCCACATTCAATCTCTGTGGCCTTTAGCTTTTGCACCATACTGGTGGTTGATTGGAGAATTAGCTTCATTCTTGCGGAGAATGTTTTGCATTGATTCTCTATCATTTTCAAATCATTAATTAATATTTGTACCTTTTCCAAGTACTTTTGATAGTCAAACGTTTTAACAAGATGATGTTTGCTTTTGTTAATTTCCTCTTCCTTTTCCTTTAGCACATTCAAAGCCTGTACTATCTTGGTATCAATCAAATTCTTTAATTTTTCATTACTATCTTGTTTGACGACACGTGTAGTTTTTTGCTGTTGTGGTTGTATAGTACTACTATTTTGTGCTGCATTTTCCTGTTGTTTTAATTTTGGTTGTTGAACAAGCTTTGCTTTCTTATTTTTCTTTTTTTTTAAATTATTTTCTAAAAGTTGTTTTGGTGGGTTTTCTTGTGAAACATATTGTTGTTTGTTTTCAACTTGGTTAATGATGGTTGGTGAAGACAATTTGCTTGTGAATGCTCCATTTTGTTGGTGATTTGAAGTTGCAAACTTTTTTCTTCTCTCCTCCTTTTTGATTTGATTGGAAGGAACTAGAGTTGATGTGTTTTTGCTGAGTTTGCTATTATTTGGATTATTCGATGATGTTATTTTGGAGGATGATGGAGTAGTGTCCTCATTATCATTGGTACTTTGTTTGATTGGTTCTGTAACTACTTTGTCTATTACCTTGACAAACAACTTTCGTTGTTGCGGTTTCTTCTTCTTCTTGATTGCTGGATCATGCTCCACATTCACAGGGCTTGGTTTTGTATCCATTTTCTTTATTCTTGTGAGTATTGATTGGTTTTTACGTTTTTTTAAATGACAGGACTGATGGGAATTCCCAACTATAAAGCCTCAAGCTAAAGAACTTGGAAATTCGAAATTAAATTTTTAAAAATAAAAAAATCAAAACTATTATACCTCATTCAGAGATTATTAATTGGAATAACAATAATGGGGAACGTACAAGAACCAGCTAAACCTGCCGTTGCAAAACAACAAATAATTACTGGTTGTTTATCGGAATTCATGAAAACCGTTCCTATCGAGATTAAACTTTATACATTTTCATATGTTCCGATGGAGGATTTTCCCAAATTACTGCTCATTACCAAACCACTAAAGAATTCAATACTAAGGAATGATGAAATATTTGTATTTTATTATAAAGATTTTAGAGAAAGGGCACTAATTGAAATATCAAAGCTAAATGGAACAATTAACATGGGGCCAAGATTGGATATAGAAGTTAGCGATGAAATGTTTAATCCATCTCTTCCTCTTAGTATTGATCAAGTTCAAACCAAATCGAATAGTCAGAAGATATCGAAAAATTACAAAAAATTACAACAAGTTGTACAGAATCACATTGCATTGAGAAATAGTATTGAGAGATTGACTGTTAGTGTAAAGGCTCCAAAGTAACTGGGCTATCTACATGTCAAATTGCAAACTTAAATAATCTAGATCAACAAGATTTCAAAAATCAACAGGAAAATATTAATTAAGTCAGTAGTCATAAGTAGTCAACAATTAAATAATATTCAATAATCCTTGTTTTTAGGGTTTTCGAAGAATTTCATTGAAAAGTGAAACTTCTAAAGGGATGATGTGTATTTCAATCAACATTCTGTGCGAATATTATTTTTTCCTTCAAGGTTCACCACCATTCAATCAGTTGCATATCTTCTTTTTAAGTATTTATAGAAATTCCACTACTAATACTGTCAATTAAAGCAACAAAAAATAACACAACATCAATAAGAAGAAAGTATTCATTCCGAAATGATATCAACAAAAAGTGAATCATCACACTTACAAGACATAACAATTGAACAACCATTGAAAAACAAGACAAACCTTCCTTGTTACATTATCAAGAATTTTCTCACACCGAAAGAATGTTCGGAATTTATTGAAAAAGCTGTGAAAATTGGATTTGATTTGGCCTCTCATGATTACCCACCTTCCTACAGAAATAATGAGAGAATTATAATGGATGACGAAGAGTTGGCAGAGAAAATGACCAAGAAATTGAAACCAATGCTTGATAGTTTGAATTTAGTGGAATTTGAAAAGGATGGATTGGAATGTGAATTGAAAAGTGTCAATTCTAGATTTAGATTGTGTAGATATCAAGAAGGACAAGAATTTAGAATTCATCAAGATGGTGTTCATTACAAATCAAAGTTTGTCAAGTCAATTTTGACATTTATGATTTATTTGAATGAAGAATTTGATAATGGACATACAATTTTCTTCAAGTCTGGACCTTCCTCAAACCCTCCAGAAGAAATGGGAAAATACAAACCTCAATGTGGTGATTTGATAGTATTTGATCATGAATTGTGGCATTCTGGAGAAATTGTCAATAATGGTATCAAATATGTCATGAGGAGTGATATCATTTATGATACTATCCCTATTAGTTTTGGAAATAATTCAATCGGAACAATGGAATCATTGGAAAATTCGAACAATTGGAATAATTCTCACAATGGATATGTTTGGAAATTAATCAAGGTTGGAAAAGATGATTCCTTAATTGCTAGCGGAGGAAGAGACACCACTATAAATATTTTCAACGAATCACTGCAAATCCAATTCAAACTTGAGGGTCACCAAAAATCAGTGCTTGGCTTATCGAAAATGGCAAATAATCAAATGGTTTCCATTTCCAGAGACCGATCAATTAAGATTTGGGACCTGGAAACGAGAGAATGTATTTTCACCAAAGAGCAAGCTCACAATCATACAGGATTATGTGTAGAAGCGGATCCTTTTGATTCTTCAATAATTGCTTCTGGCTCTGCTGATTGTATCATCAAACTTTGGAAATTTGTTGATGGAAAATTAGAATTGTCCAAACAATTTAACGGCCACAATGGATGGATTTGGTCTTTGAAATGGATTACAATTGAAGGAGAGAGGATGCTCTTGTCTGCATCTGAGGATGGATCCATACGAGTCTGGAATAGTGAAACTGGCTCGTGTCACATTATTGATCAATTACAAAATCCTCTTAGGTGCCTTACTACTTTTAATTATCCAAATTCACAAATGGACACCATTATTTGTCTTGGAGACAATGAAGGCAATCTCTATCTCTATTATGTAAAAGGGGGTTTTAGTAATTTTAGTACGAAACGAACAGAATTCAAGAACTTGCACAGGGCCTCAATAAGAACTGTTAAATTTATTAGTTCTCACATGATTGTAACAGGCTCTGAAGACTATTCTGTAATGTTATGGAAACTGAAGCATGAGCTTTCCTCAATACCTCAACTACATCATGTCTATACCTTCAATCACAATAATTTTGTCACAGACTGTCTCTCACAATTTCACAATGAACAACAAGCACAAGAGGAGGATAATCAATTCGCCTCCTTCTTCACTTCCTCCTATGATGGCGCCATTAAGAAACACCAAGTATCACTCTCATCGACAAGTCTTTCTTTAACTTTGCTTGGCATGATTGGTACCAATTAAGGATGCACAAAAAGAGCCTTTACACCGGTCAAGCTCCTCATCTTATCAGAAGCAAACATGGTCGAGTTTAACAATTAAGAAAAATCGAAACAAAAAAAAACCGCCCTTCTACGGAGGAAAGAGATCCACACACGGAGACGTCATTTTCATCAGCGAGTGAGATATGCCTTGCGGAAAGGAAGTAAATCATGTTCGGATAGAGCCCTCTAATATTATTGTTTGTAATCATCAGATGATGAAGGAGAATGGACCATTACCATCAACATCAACATCATCATGTAAATTAAGGCACCATAAGGATGTACTACTGCTGCATCCAAAGAGGAACAAAACAAGAAAAGTTTCCAAGTGTAAAGTAGAAACAACACGTAGTGTTGATTGTGATGATTCTTCGTCTTCAGCATCACACTCGGTACCATCAATATTAAATGTGGTACTAAGGTTCAAAAGCCTATTCTTCCTCATATGCTTCTTCTTCTTCTTCTCACATGATACATGCCTTGTTGGAAAGGTAGAGGCGATAACATGCCCAAACGGAGTGGATAATCTTCACATACAAACAAATTGGGTGATGCAAGCACAATATGGTGCCTTTCAAGCAGCAGTGGAGATGGGATTTTATGATAATGAATGTTTGAATGTTGTTATCAAATTGGGTATGTTGTACAAGAAATGTTGAACATTGTTGACATGATCTTACATCTATAACAATGTTAAATATTTTATGATAATGTTATCATTGTATTATGTACAACGATGATGTGGATCAACATGCCTCAAATTATATGATAAAAAAGGTGGACCTAATGCTGATCCAATAGCAGTAATTAAAAGTGGTGAAGCTCAATTGGGAGTTTTCTTATATTCGAGAGTTTTGGTCAATAGAGAGCTTGGCTTGGACTTTGTAAATATTTTCCAACATTATTCGAGAGGTGGATTGACAATGGTTTCGAGGACAGAATCTGAGATATCAACCTTCCCACAATTCAAAGGGAAGAATATTGGATATTGGGTTGGTAATGATTACTCCCTGCTTGCCACAATGAAGAAATATAATATAGATACCAAAACGGAAATGAGCTTGAGATTGCAATCTTTCTCAATTTTACCATTGTTGGAACAACCTGAAAGGTAGGTTAATATTTTCTTGACTTTTTACCTTTAATTTTTTTCTAAACATTTTACTATTAAGATATGATGTTATTATGGCAATGGGATATGATCAATTGGGAAATCTTTTGATGACTGCAAAGAAAGATTCAAGTGGAAAACCGACTGATGAATTGTATTCGATTGGAAGAGATTTAAATATCTTGGATTTCAATGCAGAACAAACTGCCATGTTGGAAGATTGTATTGTTATGAACAAGGCTTGGTATGACACCAATCCAATCAAAAATAAGGACATTCTAGTTCGTTTCTTGAAAGCAACTATTAAGGGATTGATTACCTGTAGAGATTATGAAACCAAATGTTTCAATTTAATGCCAGATAAGAGTGCACATCAAGTTTGGTCAGTGAGAGAAGTCAACAAATTAATTTGGCCTGCTAATTTAAATGGAGTAGGATGGATGAATACTACCTTATTGAACAGAACTATAGACGTTGCTTACAAATTTGGAGTAATTAATTCATTAGCTTCAGCTAATGGATCTTATGATTCTCAATTTGTTGAAGAAGCCATGCGACAATTTAGAAAAGGACTAGCGGATGGAAGTATTTCAGATAAGTATTCTGATTTAGTAGCACCAAACTATGGTCCAACCTCACACGAATTCTGCTATGACGTTACAACTGATACTGTTTTCATTTGTAATGGAAAACTTGATACCCTTCGTGTAACTGTACTTGTTGTAGGAATAGTATTGGGAAGTGTGATGGTAATGTCTGCCGTTTTGGGACTGTTGGCCATTGCGTTTGGCTTTACTCTCTTGAAGAAACGAAGAGAATTGCTAATGTTTGCCCCTACAGAAAAGGATGAATCATTCCCAATTGTTTTCACTGATATTCAACAATCAACAAAATTATGGAATGCCTTCCCAGAGGAAATGAAAATTGCTCTGGAACTTCACAATCAATTGCTGCGGAGATTATTAGATGAATATGAAGGATATGAATGTAAATCACAAGGAGATGGATTGATGGTCGCTTTCAGAGATCCAATCAATGCATTGAAATGGATGTTGAGAAGTCAAGTGGAATTAATGAAATTGGATTGGCCAGAACATTTAATGGATCAAGAACATGCAAAATTTGAGGTTGATAATGTTGGTAAAATGATATTCAGAGGATTGAGAGTGAGAATGGGAGGTGGAATGTGTAAACCAGATGTAAAAAGGGACAAAATTGGACGGATTGATTATCTAGGTAATGATGTGAATCAAGCTGCAAGAGTTGGAAGCATTGCAGTGGGTGGCCAAATTGTCATTCATCAAAATTTGTATGAGGAAGTTTCACACAAACTTACGGACCTCATCATTAGAGGAGAAACAAAAGCTCCACCGTTCAATTTTCTAGGTTTCTACATGCTTAAAGGAATTGACGGAGTTCATGCTCTGTATGACATATTGCCAGCAAGTATTCACTTTAGAAAATCTCTCTTTCCACCAATTTTCGATGAAGCAAAAGGACTTCTAATTAAGGAACTTGAAGAAACAGCAATCATTGCCACAACCACAGATATAATGGACGAACCAGAAGCTCAAGGTTCAGGAGAGAAATCTAGCAATGAAATTTAAGGAATTCAAGCCCCTCCTGTGATGGACAGTAGACTAAACAATGAGATCCTCAATCTCCAAAATCGTTAAAGTCCAACCTTTTAAGAACCTCAACATTATTTCTTAAGGACACTTTGGCGCTTAATATTCGCAACCCTTTATGGCAGTTTGGTCTGATGTGTACTGCAAAAACGACCAAATAAAGATCTGTAAAGCCTAATTTCGTGCCCTTAGTAATCATCCCGTTTGACCTCACAAGAAATCATCTCTTTGCTATACTGATTCAACCCTCCTCCGCTAATTAATAACTTCTATTCAAGAAGAAAAAACCATCACATCAACAACTTTATTGTAGTTTTTAGAGAGAGATTAAGGATTGATTGGTATAGACTAAAATGATGATGGCAATATTCAATTCAAAAAGAAAGAATACATATCTGCTGCATCAAATAGGGCTTGTTGATGATATAAAGAAAATGAAATTATATTCTTTTCATCAAGGAAAGACCTTATTTACAACCTTCTTATTTATTGTACTACTTTTAATTGTGATGATGATCAATTGGGTAGAGGCCATTACTTGTCCTAATGGTGTTGATAATATAAATATACAAACAAATTGGGTGATGCAGGCACAGTATGGTGCCTTTCAAGCAGCTGTTGAGATGGGATTTTATGATAATGAATGTTTGAATGTTGTTATCAAATTGGGTATGTTGTCATGTGTATTGTACTATTAACCTTGTTGTTACTGATCTGGTGTTGGTATCTTCTCTTATAAAATAGGTGGACCTAATGCTGATCCAATAGCAGTAATTAAAAGTGGTGAAGCTCAATTGGGAGTTTTCCTATATTCGAGAGTTTTGGTCAATAGAGAGCTGGGCTTAGATTTTGTAAATATTTTCCAACATTATTCGAGAGGTGGATTGACAATGGTTTCGAGGACAGAATCAGGGATTTCCTCTTTTCCACAGTTTAAGGGGAAGAATATTGGTTATTGGGTTGGTAATGATTACTCCTTATTAGCAACCATTAAGAAACATGGAATGGATCCAAAAACAGAAATGAGCTTGAGATTGCAATCTTTCTCAATTTTACCATTGTTGGAACAACCTGAAAGGTAGGTGTCTTTTAACTTGGATTTGTTGTTTTATTAATGCTAAACTATTAAGATATGATGTTATTATGGCAATGGGATATGATCAATTGGGAAATCTTTTGATGACTGCAAAGAAAGATTCAAATGGAAAATCAACTGAAGAATTGTATTCGATTGGAAGAGATTTAAATATCTTGGATTTCAATGCAGAACAGACTGCCATGTTGGAAGATTGTATTGTGATGAACAAGGCATGGTATGACACTAATCCAATCAAAAATAAGGACATTCTAGTTCGTTTCTTGAAAGCCACTATTAAGGGATTGATTACATGTAGAGATTATGAAACAAAATGTTTCAATTTAATGCCAGATAAGAGTGCACATCAAGTTTGGTCAGTGAGAGAAGTCAACAAATTAATTTGGCCTGCCAATTTAAATGGAATTGGTTCATTGAATGTTTCTCGTATCAATCAAACAATTGATATTGCTTACAAATTTGGAGTTATTAAATCGTTAGCTCCAGCCAATGGATCCTACGATTCTCAATTTGTGGACGAAGCTCTTAAGCACTTCAAAACAGGACTAGCCGATGGAACAGTCTTGAATACCTATTCTGATTTAGTAGCACCAAATTATGGTCCAACCTCACACGAATTTTGCTATGATCTAACAACTGAAACAGTTTTTATTTGTAATGGAAAAGTTAACTATTCAAATGTTATCATCGCTGTCATTGTTTCAGTTTTAGGATGTGCCCTACTGGTTGCTGCAATTATTGGTGCCTGTGCATTCATTGTTTGGAGAAGGCACGTGGCAAGAAGGAACAGAATTCTCGTCTATGCACCAACAGAAAAGGATGAATCATTCCCAATTGTTTTCACTGATATTCAACAATCAACAAAATTATGGAATGCAGCTCCTGATGATATGAAAATTGCTCTCGAGCTTCACAATCAACTACTAAGAAAATTGCTTGCAGAGTACGAGGGATATGAATGTAAATCACAAGGAGATGGATTGATGGTCGCATTCAGAGATCCAATCAATGCTTTGAAATGGATGTTGAGAAGTCAGGTGGAATTGATGAAATTAGATTGGCCAGAACATTTAATGGATCAAGAACATGCAAAATTCGAAGTTGACAATGTTGGTAAAATGATATTCAGAGGATTGAGAGTGAGAATGGGAGGTGGAATGTGTAAACCAGATGTCAAAAAAGATTCCATGGATAAAGTTGACTATTTCGGCAATGATGTGAATCAAGCTGCAAGAGTTGGAAGTATTGCAGTGGGTGGCCAAATTGTCATTCACGAGAATTTATATCACGAAATCATGACAAGACTTTCTGAGCTAATATTCAGAGGTGAAACCAAGTCACCTGTCGTTAACTTCCTTGGGCCATACTGTCTTAAAGGAATTGAAGGTGTGCATGTCTTGTATGATATTCTACCAGCTAGCATTCAAAACAGAAAGACATTATTCCCAACTGAATGTGATGAAGCTAAGGGAACATTGTGGAAACCAAGTGACTCGGATGGAAATACTCCACAACAATTAGTCGATCAATTAGAAAGCAAACGATTTGAAAAATAAACATTTTCCAAAATGCACCCAATTTTCATCATTATTTTCAAAGATCTTTTCTACTGCTTAATCAAAATTGAATTTCACTCAAATTCTTAAAATAACATTGGAAAATCCAAATTGCTTTCAAAAAAACAAAAAAAAATGTCCCAATTATCGATTAGAACTACATCCTATCATTTGCCAAATCTAAATGATGATGAGCAATCATTTAAATTACAATTATTTTCAAGTGCAGAACAATTCTGGGATTACACCTCTTCCTATCTGATGGAATTTCCAGCAGAGAATAATCTCGTGTTGGGAATTATAAAATCTTGCATTGAAACTCCGAATCGATTTTCTTCCGATAAGAGGTTCTTGATGAGTATTGAAGATTTGGAGGGAAATATTCAGATGGTAATTGTGTGGACTATTCCATTCTTGATTCTGACAAGTTATTCGAAAGAGATGGAGAAGAGAAGGGTAATATTGAAGAGTTTGATTGGATTCTTTTTGAGAAATGATTACGAAACTTTGAGAATTGAAGGAGAATTTAAAGCAGTAGAAGAAATGATTTCGACTTATGGAAGGAAATGTAATGGAATTTTATCAGATGATGAAGAATCTGAATGGTTTATTCAAGAATATTGTAAAGAAAGAGAACTGCTTTATCCTAATCAAAAATTGAATGTTATTCGAAATATTGGAATGACAACCTATCGATTGAGTTTGCAAGATTTAACACCTCTTAAAAGAGATTATCAAGATTTAGAATTTCACATTCTAGATTTACACGAAACTAATCGTGTAGAGGAATATCTTGATAGATTACAGGAATTTTACAAAACTGTCTTTCCAGAAAAGGAACAAAACAGTAGAGAATATATCATGGAGTTTATTCTTAGTAGAACTGCTTCCCGCCAAAATGCTTACTATTGCATTCGAAAGGAAAATCCATCCAAAATGATTGCCATCAGTATGGCCAATCCACTTCCTCAATCAGCCAGAGTTTCATGTGTAATGAGTATTCCAGACGAAAGAGGAAAGGGAATTGGAAGTTACATTGTGCATCAAATGGCCAAAGATTTACTTGTTGAAAAACCCAAATTGACTGGAGAGCCATGTCAATGTTTGTTCTTGTTTGCTGACTTGTCCAATCCATCGGCAATTCATTTGTATGAAGGAGCAGGATTTAAGGGTGTTAGAAATGTGTGCGAATTGGAAATTAAATATCAGGATGAGGAATAATTTATTCCTTATCTGTTATTCCTAAAATTAAATAAATTGGTTTTGAAACTGTTTGATTATTGGTTATTGTAAATTCACACAAGATTAATTTATCCCACATGGTCCTATTGAAGAAATGTTTCAAATCCTTGTTTGGTTGATTTCTATTGATCCAACGAGTCCAATTTCCTTCTAGTTCTGTTTCCAAATCACTTTCCAATAAGGAATCCATCATGTACAAGTCAATCATGTGAGCTTGTTCTAATTTGACAAGAGAATCCTTATTTCCAACACGATTGACAATAAATTTCTTCATTGAGTCAATGCTCTCACGTGCCCAATCGAGAGCAAGTGAATTCTCAGCCCTTTCCACATATGCTCCACCAAATATTGACCATTCAGTTAGTACCTCTACAAATGCCTCTTCACTCATTGCTTTTCTATAGATTATTTGCTCGATTTCTTCCTCCTCTTGTGGCTTCTTCAACAGACTCCTCTCTAAATGTTTCTCAATCATTGGATGTTTGTTAAATAAAAGAGATAACAATCCGAGTGGCAATTCAACTCTTTCCTGTTCATTATCATATAGACAAATAAAGGCCTCTCCATTCGACTGCTCAATAGCATGATTAAAAAACCCTAGACAAGGTTTAATCAAAGATGTTTCCAAATCAAATCCATCGACCTTTTCCTTGAATGTTAAATTAAAATTCCTTCTTTTAGTATTATTTAACAGTGATGATGAATATCGACTCATCAAGAAGGATGACGCCGATTTTAATTTCCTTCCGTATGATGGGAGAATTTGCTGTGATGATTTCCAACAGTATTGTGTGAACATTTTTTTCAATTTTGAAAATTAAAAATTGTTAAATATTATTTAAAATAATATTATTAATACATTAATAGTTTACAGCAGGTTTTGTTCTAGGTTCGTAATCTAAGGAGAGCTTGTAAAGTTTGTCTTCGTCCATATTGTGAATATTCTTGAGTCTTTCTTGTAGCTCTGGAACATTTTGGAGGGAGTATGGAGTTTGTTGATAGGTTTGGATGTCTCTGATGAGCATGGCAAGTTTTCTTCTCTTGATGAAATTAATCTTATCATTGAGAACGTTTGGATTACCATCTTCGATAAATGTCAAATCAGTGAGAAAGACTCCAATGTATGGTATACATGGTGGTTTAACATAGAGAATGGCATGTCTGATAGCTCTAAAGTTATTGTCACCACTAATGATGGCCAGTAATTCTTCATGATCTCTTCTACTTTCGCTCTTGAGTGCTTCCCATGTCTTTTTAAGTCTGTGAACTGCAGAATTTTGTAAACCACTGACAATTTCAAAAACAGCATTGAAATTATTCAATTTTCTACACTCTTCAGCAATTTGAATCATCTTGGTGAGGATTGTCTTTCTTTCTTTAAGACTTGGTTCGCTCAAAATCTTGGTTGCAACCCATCTACTGACACGATTGAACCAAGTAATCATTTGGAAGATGTTATAGGCCTTTTCCTCTCTTGACTCCTTATTCCATGATTGATTCAAACATTCCTTTGGTCTAATTGATTTAAACATGTTATATTCAATGAGAGTTATTTGTCTAGCAATTTCAGCACTTGGCCATTCTAGAATATCAAACTTGGTCAAATCATCCTTTCCTGGTCTATATTTTTTAGGAAACTTGACAGCTGTCTCAATCTTTACGAAAACCTCGACATTGTTTGTGGTAAGAGATTGTTGTCTCTTAATAGAATTCAATAATTGGGTAGCAAAGTGTTTTCCTTGAGTATTTTCCATAACGGTACTCAATTTTTTAACCTTTTCTAATAATTCGGCATCATTTTCAAAGTCATGATAGTGATTTTCAAGCCAGAATTTGATTACTTGGGTAACTCTGAGTCTGACTTGTTGTAAAACTTCTTCTTGCCACTTGGCAAACTCATTCTTTGTAATGGTTTTTGGATTTGGTGGAGGGAGATTATATCTGGAAAAAAGTCTATCCATCAAGTCATGTGGACTTGTGAAAGATCGGTAAGTGAGCAAGAAGGCATACAAATAGGCATTATCATAATTTTTGTAAAAAGTTACACGTTCAATGAGCTTGTCCAAGGTTGCACACTTGATTTCCATGGCTTGATCAGATTCTTCATCTGTAGATTCCATCCACATGATATTTTCTGGTGAATCCTCTTCATATTTTTGATTGGTTTGAGTAAAGTCATAGTCGTAGTAGTCTTTTGGATCCTTTTCTTTTTGGCTTTCTTCCTTTGGAATTTGAGTGACACTCATGCTCATGGCATTTGATGCTGGTTTGGAAAATTGAGCTTGGAATTTAACAAAATTGAAAATAAAGAATTGGAAATCCAAATCAAAGTGATGTTTCAAAATTTTTGATTCTTCTTCGGATGTTACAATAAAACGAATATCTAACAATGTAGATGAAAGACGATTCTCAATGCAATGTTCAAATGTTGATCTGAAAAAACATCTGGCAGCTGCCACCCATTGACTCTTCAAAAGACCGTATTGTGGAACAATCTTTTGGCCATTATGAGCTAAAAATGGTGCAAATGCAATAGATTGACATTCGAGAGTATCAACACATTCCAAAGCATTTCTTACAGCATTACTAAGGGAGTGATAAAATTTGGTTTTGGTCAACTCGTTAGAATCCAAATTCACGCCATCCAAATCAGTGGAATTCTTTGATGGAATAACATGTAAAGATGAGCTGCCAGTAAAGAGATGGATCAAATGACATTGTCCATTAGTACGATTTGGCATTGAGAAAGTACTGCAAAAGACTTCTCCCTCATTGAGTCCACGGGAGGCCTTTTCTTTTTGAATATATTCCTTACATTGTTGAATAATATCCTTGGAAAAGGTTTCAGTTGCATATTTGGCAGCACCATTAGCCTCTCCTTCACAACTCAATTTAGAGTCATTACCAACAACAAATCCTTGAACAAGCTCAGAAAACAAGTCATCCATTTGAATGAGTGATACTCTGGCACCTTTAGTTACTCTCTTTCCATTGGATGATGACTGTTGAGATTTGTTGAAAATTGGATTGACAGGATATTCAATGATCAGTTTGCCGTTTGTTGTCTTATCCTTTTCTCTGATTGATTGTACTGTTGTTGTTGCTGCTGTTGTGGAAGATGAAGAAGAAACACTATCCACAGATAAATTTGATGATTTCTTCTCAATTGTATTTGTGAGGGATGAAGATGAATTGGTCTTGTTGAGAATTAGAGGAGATTCCTTTCTGAATACTGATGGAAGTCTCTTCTTTCTTTCTCTTGCATTTACCAATAACTTGTCAACATCCAAATGATCATTAACAGTCGATGAATCATTCGAGGATAGATCATCATTTGAAGCAGTCAATCCAGGAAGTTTGAAACTTGATCCACTCGAAAGTGTTGTACTCGATTCAGAATCTGTATCTTCTTCAGTATCACTGGAAACTAGTGTCTCTTCGTTTTTCTGTTAAGAGAGAATTTTTTAACACATTGTTATTAAAATTGAAATAGGATGTTTTTTTAACTAACCTTTGTTTTTCCTAATTGAGAAATGTTATGTTCCTGTATTTTCTCATACTTTTTCACAAGTGAATCAATTTTAGAATCGTGATGGGAAAGTTGTGTATTCTTTGGATTTGATTTGACAAGTTTTTGAAGTTGTTGATTCTCTTGTTCTAACAACTGATTTTTGTATTCTAATTGTTGCTTCTCCTTTGTCACGATAAATAATTGTGTTTGTAAAATGTTAATTTTCTCGACCATTTCCTGAACTGACATTTGACTTCCAGATGTTATTGTTTTTAAATTGTTACTTGGTTTTGAAGTCAGAATTGATTCTGCTGATCCTGATGCCGATGTAGCATTATTTGTTGTTGTCTTTGGTCCACTGATTTTAAAACTTTGTGAAGTTGTTGGTGTTTGATTATTACCTCCCGTTAATGTTTTAAAGAATGTTGATTTGAGTGAAGAAGATATGGAAGGAGAGGTTGATGATGATGTGGTTGGTATGGGAGAGTTGTTGGAGGACGAAGGAGAAGGCTGTGTTGGCCGAAATGACATTTTTTGATGATTTTTAAAACTTGACAGGTGTTAATTAAATGACATAAAACGAGTGAGGATAGAGGGCTCAATAAATCATAAGCTTTTCGACCGAATCATTTCAAGTAACTACAATGCCGCCAACTCTTTGATTGACTGGAACGTAGTTACGGTAAGCAATGATTCGTTAAACAAAATCTTTAAAGAGTTTTACAAAGATCAAATGCAAAGGCAGGTTTAAAAAACTGTAATTGTCATCAAGGTTTGCCTCATCACAATTCCGACCAAATATCAACCCAAGTCAATTGTCATTCTACCATAAAACCTTTTCCGATCGTGATTGATTATTATTATTAAAATACAAAAAAAATGTCTGATCTGTTTTCTTTAACAAAATCATCCTCATTAATACAACCATCGTCATCGGGAAGGAAAATGTTCAAAGCCTCTCTGTTAGCCTTCATGATGATTGTTGCTCTTTTTTGTTTGATAATTTTTACCGCCAATTCTGTAAATTCACAAGAAGAAAAAAGTAGCACAACACCTTCTGCTGCTGGCAATGTAAAAAGTGGTATTGTTGTGGAGGAAATTGGTGAGAGTCCATTGTTGAAGGAGAAACCAGTCGGAACACCTAATGTTGCTTCTGTTGATGGAAAATCGACAGATATTCCAGTCTTGGGAGAGGATGAAGATGATGATTTTGAGGATTATGATCCTGATGATTTTGCAGTTTTGGGTAATGAATGGTTGTTGAAGGAAATTAAGGAAATTGAGGAACAAATTCAAACAGTTTCATCAGATGATGAAGATGTGGGAGATGTTACTGCTAAATCACCTGAAGCTAATGCTACACAATCTATTTAATTGGAATTAATTGGTTCTATTGATAAATAATTATTGTAAAAATGTAATACTAATTATTAAATTAAAATTTAAATTACAAATTTAATCTTTTTATGAGATGCTTCTTTTGATTCACAATACAAAAAGATGATAAAGATAATAGCATGACATCATCGTTCTCTCTTGTATTCATGAACATGTTGTAATTGAACATAAGAAGCCATTCCACTCTTCAATTTCGAATACAATCCTTCAACCAAAATATTTTTCACACATTAGCCATCTCTCAGCTACCCTTGCAGCAGGATATTCATTTAAAAATAGATATCTTTACCTGCTCGGAATGCAAGGAAAAAGTCTATTGTAATAAATTATTGCAAGTCATCACCCAAGCATAAATGAGCAGCTGAAGAAGGTTCTTGTGGTGTGAAAACACAACATTCGCGTTGAAGCGCCCAAAAATAAGTTGGAGAAAAAATCAACAAACAACGCTAGCGCAATTTCCTTCAAGCCACAAACAAGCAGCAAAGCTCGCATTTGACTCTCGTTTTTTTATTGAACAAGTCATCATCATCATTTTGTGGTCATTGGCAAAGAATTTGAAGAAGATTGAAACCTCCTATAATCCATCATCATCTAAATCATCATCATTAATTTCTCTCCCCTTTTTTAAAACTAAATAACAACAATGAGCGAAAACTTTTGGGAACAACGTAAACTCGAAATTGAGCAAACTAGGCAAGCTGAACTCGAAAAGAAGGCTGCTGAACAAAAGGAAAAGAAGAAGAGTCAAGTAGTAGAAAAAACTGAAAAGAAGAAGGAAAAGCAACCAAAGAAGGTTGAACAACAAAAGGAACAAACCCAACAACAACCAAACGGTGCTGCTGCTGCTTCTGAACAAAAAGAAAAGAAAAAGAAGAACTTTAAAAAGAACAAGGAAGCCTCTCAACCATCAACTTCCCAACCAGCCACTACTGAAGCTTCTGCTCAAGATGATTTCCAAACTGTAGAAAGAAAGACTGGTGGAAGAAGACAATTCCGTGGTGCTAACAAGAGAAGTAACAATAAGAAGAAGGAAAATGGCGAAAAGAAGAAGGAAAATAAGGAAAATAAGGAACAACAACCAAAGAAGGAAGAAAAGACAACAACTGAACAAGGACAACAACAAGTTGTTGTTCAACCTGTTCAAATTAAGGTCTTTTCTACCACTGAATCAACACCTGTTCAAGGTTCTGACTCTTGGGTTTCTCTCTTGAGAGGTAATCAACCAGAAAGTACCTCCACTACTCAACAACAACAACCAACTTCTAATGGTGCTGCTACTTCTACCAAGAAGAGTAAGCCAAAATCCGAAAAGAAGACTGTTGTTGCCAAGCCAGTTACTGCTGAAAAGACAACAACTGAAGCAAAGAACAAGCCACAAAAGAATTATGAATCCGGAAAGAACTTGTTGAGATCAACTGAAGTTGAAGTTGATCAAGCATTGTTGGACGAAGTTGGTGTTTTTATTCAACCAAGAGGAATGACCAATATTAACAATTCTTGTTATATGAATGCTGTTTTGCAAACTTTGGTCTCCCTTCCACAATTCTATCATGTAATGAAGAGACTCGGAAAGATTTCTCTCGACAATGAAGAATATCCACTTACCAACAAGTTTGTCCGTTTGGTTAACGAATATCAAACCATGAAGACTCACCGTCCACAAAGTGGAAAGGAAGGTGAAAAGAAAGATAGAAAATACTTTATCAATGCTTCTACTGAACATTTAGTTCCAAGTTATATTGTTGATTATATTCAACAATCATCAACCAACTTGGAAGATGCCTTCCTCTTGGGTACTCAACATGATGCTCACGAATTCTTGAATCACATCTTGCAAAGACTTCACGAAGAATTGAAGAAGACTGAAGCTACTTTGGGTAGAAAGTCTCCTTCTGCTTCAAAGAAGAAGAGCAATAAGAAGCAAGAAGCAACTTCTGAACAAGCAGAACAACCATCCACTGAAACTACCAGTGAAGAATGGAAGGAAGTTGGAAAGAAGAATAAGGCCAATCCAATGCGTGAACATGAAATGGGTGATAGCAGTGTTATTGCTCGTACTTTCGCTGGTAAGATGAAGAGCTTTGTTCAAAAGCAAGGTGAAAGCAAGGGAAGTTCTGTTGTTGAACCATTCTTTAGCTTGCATTTGCCAATCAAGGATGAAAACATCAAGGGTGTTAAATTCGCCTTGAGAGAAATGACCAAGGAAGAAAATGTTAGTGATAAGAATGCCAAGTCTTCTATTTATCAACTTCCAAAGGTTCTCCTCTTACATTTGAGAAGATTCGACTTTTCTTCAACTGAAGGAGTTCAAAAGATTTCTAAGCGTATTAGATTTGATTATGAATTGAATATTGACGAAAAGGTTGTTCCAAACGTCAAGGCCATTTCTGGAAGACCAAGTTTGAAATATAGACTTGCTAGTGTCATTTGTCATCATGGAAAGGATGCTACTAGTGGACATTATAGTACTTATATTCAACATGGATGCGGAAAGTGGATTCATATTGATGATACTAAGGTAACTGTTGTTAGTTTGCAACATGTTCTAGATCAACAAGCTTACATTTTGACCTATGTTCAAGATGATAACCAAGAACACTATAAATTATACTCGGAAGGAAGCTCATCGTCTCCTTTGTTCAGTGAATCAAGTGAACAAAATGGTGAAAAGAAGAAGGACCACAAGAAGAAGGATAAGAAGGACAAGAAGGAAAAGAAATCTAAACCTGCCACAACTACTACCACTACTACTACTACCCCAACTACTACCGAGACAAAGACAGAAGCTAAGACCGATGTGTAGAGTTCTCATTTTGTACAAATACTACTATTATAATTCCCTACTTTATTTATAAAAACAATTTTGATTCTTTTTAAATGTATCTTATCACTACCAATAATATGATGTTATCCAAAAAAAGATATTAGCATGTTGATAAAGGAAAGTTAGGGTCATTGTCCTTGTGTTTCAGATTTTATGATTATGAATGGCTACGGCCATATCACGATGAATGCACCTCATCCCGTCCGATTTGAGAAGTTAAGCATCGTCGAGCCACATCAGTACTGAGGTTGGAGACAACTTGGGAACCTGTGGTGCTGTAGTCTTTTATCTTTTTACCAATATATTCTCTCTAAAGAATAAAAAAAAAGCAGAAGAAGCAGAGAGCAATGTATTGACCATGTTTTCTGTTGTTTTTTTAACCTTTATTAACCCGTTATTTGTCTTTATTTGGACAATTCAAAACTTGGAATTCTTCACTGGTGAATTTGTTGAACTTTTTCATCCAATTTTTTACTTAATGCTTATAAAGAACTCACTTTGTCAATAAAGAATTAATGATAAGCAATTTTAAATTTTTCTGCAATTTTCCATCACAATTATTGTAAACAAAGTTCATCTCCTGTTGTAAACTCATTAAAAAAATAGCTCAACATGGTCTTTTTTCGCATGCCACAATATCTCAAGCAACCGACAAGGGAAGAGCGAACACCCATCAAGGCTAAAAAAGAAGGACGTTCACCACTCCAATTATCTAGTCCCACTTCATTATTCGAAAGTAATGGAGAGTTGTATATTGTGGATAATTCTCAAGGAAAGGTTTATAAAACACTCCGAAATGGTCATGTAGTTGTGATTGCTGGAGGAGGAATGGAAACTAAAGATGGGAAGCCAGCACACGAGTCGAAATTGGAGGGACCTTTCGGGATTTGTATTTCGAAAGGAAATGAAGTGTTTATTAGTGAAAGAGAAGGAAATCGTATTAGAAAGATTGATAGATTTGGAAATATTTATACTGTGGCAGGAACTGGTGAGGCAGGTGATAATGAAGATGGAAATGCATTGGAATGTAAACTAAACGAACCTTGTGGAATAATAATTAATGAACTAGATCAAATAATTTTTGCTGATAAAGAAAATGGAAAGATTAGAATGATACAATCGGATGGAAATATCAAGACATTACTATCGGAAACATATTACATTACTAATTTATGTCAAGATGAAAGTGGAATCATTTACTTTGCCACCAGATCAACAATTTCCAAACTATTCCCGAATGGAAATGTCGAAACATGCGAAAGAAAGTTACAGAAACAAACTCCTGGCAAGATTTATCCATTCACTGATCTGCAATCTCATACACCATTCGATATCAAAATTAGAAATGGAATTGTACATTATTCAGAAAGATTATTCTTGAGAAATTTTGATCCCATGAATGGAAATGATAATGTTCTAGCTAAATTGGATGCTGTTCAAAAACCATTAACGAAAAAGATTCACAAGAAGAATTTTGTGGCAATTTGTCCGTCCAATGATGGAACTGTCTACATGTCAGATGATATGAGAGGAACTATTTGGAGACAAGGTCCACAACCTCATGTACTTAAAGAATTGATGGTAAAATGTGAAATACCTTTCAATTTTAAAGATTATCCACATATTGGACCTAGAAAGAGGATTGTAGAGAGATGTGAGAAATTTTCTGATGTTGTAATTTCATTTTCTAATTGAATTAATATTTATTCGAAATGGAATTGAGAAACGATAAGGAAATTATTATCAAAGAATTTCAGTTGGAGATGAATCTGATTAAATAAAAGAAATATAATATATTAATTAATTTTCTCAATGATCGTGTCAGTGCTGTAACTTGCCAATTCTAAATTACTTTCCTTATCTTTCATAGTTCTCTTCAATTTTCTAGATTTCATTTTCAATTTCTGATAATAATCAGGCCAAACCATATTCTTAAAACCTGTCAAGGCAATATCAATTCCCAAACAAGTGACAGTACACAACAAGAGAATTAACCAGAATTTAGGAGATCTCATTGCCTCAAACCAAACACTTGTCATACTTGATTGAATTATTGTGAAAATTACAACGAAAATAACAAATGACAAGATTGAAAATATCATTCCAGCATGATGAATAATTGTCAAATGCTCCATTTCAATATAACACTTGAGAGTAATGACAACAAACACGCAGGTATACAATAAGGCACACATTGCCCAAATTCCATCCGATTGACCATTTGTTAGTAATCCTGGCTCAGCTGCATAGGTACAGAAAAAGAAAATGATTGTTCCATGTAGGAATGCTCCAAATACCCATTTTGAAAAGGTATACCAATTGAAAATGTTATCAGTTTTCAATTTTCTATAAAGAATAGGTCCAGTTTCTGAATCTTCCAAATAACTTTCATCAATATCCTTTTCGAATAATCCAAAAACAATTGGGTTGACCAAAGTAAATACATAATTTTGAAATGTCAAGACCAATGATTCAATATTCAATTGTCCAGAGCACAAATTATAAAAGAAATAAATGGTCATCAAGCTAGACACTACATTACTCTTATAGAATGAATATTGAATAAAGACAGCTGATCTCTTATATGAATATCTTCCATGAACTGCCAGTAATCGTTTCAACATGTGGAATTTAGGAATGGCATAGTCAGACGATTGTTTTGCAAGAGTTCCTTCTTTTCCTATAATACCTACACCTACTTGAGATTTCAAAATCATTGGAACTGAAATAATTGTAATGTTGTTTTGTAAAATTGTTGAAAAATGTGAAAAAACTTACCATCGTTGGCACCATCACCAATAGCGAGACAATTCTTTTTCAATTTGTGTCTTGCCAATTCGACAATTCTTGATTTTTGCTTTGGAGTTGATCTGAAACAAATGACAGTTTTGCATTTTTGTAATAATTTGACAAGTAATGAAACAGTGTCAGGTTTTTCACATATATGTAAGAAATGGCCTTCTACTGCGAGTTCTACATTATCCCTTGATTCAGTTTCTTGTAAAATTTCGGAAAGTTTCGAATGAATATTTTCCTCTTTAACACTGGAAGAATCTAAAAGTATTAAATCAGATTCCTTTTCGATGAGTTTTGAACATCTTGCAATGTGTAAAGCAGATTCTTTGGCATCTCCTGTCAACATCCAAATCTTTAAACCAGCTTCTGTGAAAAATTTGACAGTTTCTGGAACCAATTGTTGTAAACTATTAAAAATATTACAAAAAATTGTAAACGTGCATTACTTACACATCTTCAATACCAGTTACTCCACAAGGTAATAAACCAACTTCCATTTCCTTTTCCAATCTTTGAGACAATTCCAATTGTTCATCATGATTCAAACTCTTTGTTTTCAAAGCATGATAATCTTCCATCCACTGTTTCAATTGATCATTTCCCACAAATTTAAAAGCAAACACCAAGGATCTTAAACCATCTTTAGAAAATTCCATAACTCTATCTTCCATTAATTGTCTATTTTCCTTGGCTGATTCTTCCATGAAAGGATAAACGAAAGAATCTGCTCCCTTAGTAAGACACAACACAATGTCACTTTCACCATTCGAATTGTGAATGGTTGAAGTGGCTGATTGAATGATGGGATAGTCGTTGAGGAAATCTTTTGGAATTTTGAAGAGAACTGACATTCTCTTTCTCTCTGGTGTAAATTCCAATTCTGCCAATCTTTCGAATGTGTATTCCTTTTCGAATAGGGAGAGAATTGTCTTTTTGTCTGAGAAATACTTGAGAATGAAACCGTAATTGGAAATTCCTTGAACCAGAGCTACTTCATCTGATGATTCTCCATCATAGGTTTCCCTTTCTTTCGACTTTCGAATAGTTACATTGTGACACAGTGAAATGTTCAACATGAGCATTAATTTAGTCAGGGAATCTCTCGATTGTTGGCCATTTCTAATCGATTCCTCAATACTTGAATCACAATTAAACGAAGAATGTCCAACAGCCCAAATCTTTTTCAATTTCATTTCATTTTCAGTCAATGTTCCAGTCTTGTCTGTCAAAATCAATTCAATTCTTGCCAAATCAGAATGCAAATCACTCGAAATTGCAGCAGACGAAACAAATTTCTCCTCTCCAGTATGAACATCCATCATTCTATGAACTAGCTCATTATCTGCTGAAATGAACCTCGCTTGAATAATCTTTAAAAATTCCAAAACAACAAACAATGAAGCAGGCACGTAAACATTCAAAGCTGCAATATAAACTAAAATCGAGTGAACCACCCATAATCCATCAGAAATTCCCATTGGTTTCAATTTACCCAAATAGGCAACATTTTTCGAATAAGTAAATTCATAGTATGCATTCAATATTACTAAAATGGAAATAATGACTGTCATGAAAATGAAAAGGACAACAGTAAAGAAATTTCCCATCAAATTAACGTGAGAAAATTTGACTTTTGGATTTGGAACATTTCTTGCAACTTTTGTATCTTTTCCTGCATAGATTACAATTCCATAAATATGTGGAGATTTGAGTTTTGCTCCTTTTAGTAGTAAATTTTGATGATTAATACCAAATTCATTATTTTCACCTTCTAAACAAACACTTCCTTTGAATTTGTAAAGATTGTGATCTGGCATTTGACATTTAATCCATCCTTTCAAATCTTTTAACATGTCAATATTATTAAATTTAGATAAACTATGAGGAGAATATCTACTTTTCAATGCAGATTCACCATCCAAATTAGCTGTTTCAATATTACAACTTCCATCCTCAAAATTAGACGAAACTAACAGCAAATCAGCTGGAAATTCTTCATCTTCCTCAATTTTCACCAAATCTCCAACTTTAACATGTTTCGTATAAATTTCTACAAAGTCCAAATATTGAGTAATTGAATTCCCATCCTGTTTAAGAGATCTACTCTTCAGAACGAGAACTTTCTTGTGATTTACTTTTCGATCTTTGAGATAACGAAAGAAATCTTCACCTCCCTCTCTTACAATATTTACAACAAGGATGATGATGATTGGGATTTGTGCTAGGATTGGACTTGAAGGCCAAACTCCTGGAATCCAAGCAATGATGGCGATGAAAAGAAAATAAAGGTTTCCGATTTTTTTCATTTGTTGAAATAAGTTTAGGATTAGAAAATTCCACCAAGTATACTATCGGAAAGGTCAGTTTCAGAATGTTTCATCAGATGAGTTGAAATTTAAAGATAAACTCCGATTCGCTCGCGAGTAGATGAAACATACCTTTGTAGTACTCAAATAATTCGTAGACGAAAATTGACGAAACGGAAGGAAACCCCACTTTTTAATTCTTCTCTTCTTATTGGTTTGCCAATCATTGATCGATACAACATAGGGATAATTATCTTGTTGCTGGTGATCAAAACTAATGGGTTTCTCTTGCATTTTTTTATCTGAAAGGTTTCACCTGAAGTTGACAGTGTAGAAACTTCCAACTGGTTAAAAGCTGTTCATATAAGAGATGTTTCCTTATAAATCAAATTATTGTCAAATCGTACGTAATCCGACTTTCGTCTCTGTTATTGGAAAGTAAATGAGTTTTTGTAATTGACATTCGTTTACAGTTATTGGAAACTTACTTTACACAAAATAGTTATCCAGTTTAATGCCAGGCATTCATATCTAACTCCCACCATTTACTAACTATCCAATTCAAAGTTTAAATGATTTTAAATAAAAAATAAATTAATTAAAAATGTAATTGTACAATTTTTATATTTACAGTTCAATTCTTTGTAAATAGAGATTCATCTTAGTAAGCCATTTAGTTGACCTATTCTTTCCACTGTTCGTCAAATTTCCGAACCAAATAAGGACTCCTAACCAAATGCATCTCATCAATATTCAAAAAAATTCAAAAAAATTCAAATCTTTCGCGAATCACACAACAAACATTCTGATTCAGATCGGCTTGCCTCCTCTCTGCGTATCTGTAGTGTTGTTCTTCAAGCTTCTTTTTGTTTTTGGTGTAAATTGATTCCGAGAATTTTTGTGTGAGAATACAACACGAGAATATTTTGTTATTGCTCTTGTTTATTGTGTTCCTTTTTATTGTTAAAGTTGTAGTGGTAGTAGAGTAGTAGAATATATAGAGGGTATTGTTATTGAGAATGTCGGATTGTGATTTTTTGTATAAAGGTAGGAAGAAGTAATTTTAGAAATATTAATATTTAATAATTATTTGATGATTGTGATGATGAATGTATAATGATGAAATAATATTTGATGATGATAATTTTAATAATGTGTGGTGGTGAATGATGAATAGTGGTTGTATTGGGTGATTCGGGTGTTGGAAAATCGAATTTAATTATCAGATTTACAAAGAATATTTTCAATACACAACCAAAACCAACGATAGGTGTAGAATTTGCATCAAAATCAATCTCGTATGATGGTGCTACGATCAAGGGACAAATATGGGACACGTATGTTGTTGATAATTTATATGAATTTAGTTGAATTTACAAAATATTAATAATTTAATAATGATTGAATATATGTGTTTATTATCATGATTCAAGTGCTGGACAAGAGAGATTTCATGCTGTATCTGTTCAGTATCATCGTGGAGCTCATGGAGCATTGATGGTTTATGATATTACCAATAAGGAATCATTTGAACATTTGGAAAAGTGGTTTAATGAAATTAGTAAACAAGGAGAGGAAGGATGTATCTATATTGTAATCGGAAATAAGTGTGACTTGGCAGGTCAGAGACAAGTCACTGAAGAGGAAGGTAAAATTTTTGCAGAAAAGAGAAATCTACTATTTATGGAAACATCAGCATTGGACTCGACAAATGTGGAGGAAGCATTCTCAGTGCTGTTGAAGAATATTTATCATACTAGAAAGCAAGCCAAACGAAATATTGAGGATGATGATATTTCAGAACCTATTCGAGTACCACTCCCATCTCAACCATCCATATCTCAGGATGATTTGGGATCGAGTTATAAAGTCAGTTTGGATGTGTCACATCAACATCGTGCGCAGATGACAGCTACACATCAAACAACTAGAACCAATAATTCAACATGTTGTAAATAATTTTTTTAATTTATGAAATCAAAATAGATATTTAAGGAAAATAAATATCAATTGTACAATCCCAAAAGAATTTGCCATGGTTGAAAATATATATTATTTGAATTAGTTGATTGAACAAATGACCTAATTTGTACTTTGGAAAAGAGATTTATTAACACCAAATCATTTGAACGAGCAAGATGACAATGCAATAGAATGAAAGATGGGTTGCATTTGCAGATGCTAACTTGAAACTTCCCTGAGGAGTGGTAATGTTTGAATTTTGAACCTTTACAGATTGACTTGGTTTTGGGCCAGGTTTTGGAGAAGGTTTAGGAGAAGGACTTGAAGATTGTTGAGGAATTGGAGAAGGTTTAGGGGAAGGTTGTGGAGAAGGAACAGGTACCATTGAAGAACAGTTGAGTCCTGTGAAACCTGCAAAACAAGTGCAAGTATCTGGTTTGGAACAATTTCCATGTCCAGAACAAACCAAGCTGTCACTTTCAGTCTTACCGTAACAAACAACTTGTTCACACTCTTTACCTGTATAACCAACATTACAAGTGCATTGATCATGGCCACTACAGCTTCCTCTTCCACCACATACAGAAATAGAGTTTGAGGGTATACTAAAGCAGGTAGTCAATGAACAATCTACACCAAACCAATTTTCAGGGCAAGAAACTGATTTATGCTCACAGTTACTGCCATAATAACCATCTTTACATGTACAATTATTAAATGAAGAACAAGTTCCATTACCTGAGCATACATTTGAGTTAACTTTTGATATACCATAACAATCATACATTTCACAATTGGATCCATAATATCCAATTTCACAAGTACAATTGTTTGGAGAAGCACATTTTCCTTTTCCAGAACAAACAGTATTATTCATAAAATGTACTCCATAACAATTAAATTGATTGCAACTGCTTCCAAAATATTCATCAATGCAAGAACAGTTATTTGGAGATGGACACGATCCATGTGATGAACATACATTAGTGTCTGTTTTTGATACTCCATAACAATTGAAATTTTCACAATTATTACCAAAATAATCTTGTTGACAGGTGCAATTATTCAAAGAAGAGCAAACACCATTACCTGAACACACATTAGAGTTGGATTTTGCAAAACCATTACAATCATACATTTCACAATTGCTGCCATAGTAACCTTGTTGACAGGTGCAGTTATTGGATGAAACACAAGTTCCATGACTTGAACAAACACTTGAATTCAATTTAGAAATATTATCACAATCATATATTTCACAATTACTGCCATAGTAACCTTGTTGGCAAGTACAATTATTGAATGAAGAACAAACTCCATGAGCTGAGCATACATTTGAGTTAACTTTTGATATACCATAACAATCATACATTTCACAATTGGATCCATAATATCCAATTTCACATGTACAATTATTTGGAGAAGCACATTTTCCTTTTCCAGAACACACAGAAGCATTACTAAACTTAACATTGAAACACTTGAAATCTTCACAATTAATTCCAAAATATTCATCAATGCAAGAACAGTTATTTGGAGATAGACATGATCCATGTGATGAACATACATTAGTGTCTGTTTTTGATACTCCATAACAATTGAAAATTTCACAATTATTACCATAATAATCTTGTTGACAGGTGCAATTATCGAATGAAGTGCAAACACCATGACCTGAACATGTATTTGAGTTGTTTTTGGATAAGCCATAACAATTATACATTTCACAATTGGATCCATAATAACCAATTTCACAAGTGCAATTATTTGGAGAAGCACATTTTCCTTTTCCAGAACACACAGAAGCATTACTAAACTTAACATTGAAACACTTGAACTCTTCACAATCATTACCAAAATAGCCTTCAAAACAAGAGCAATTATTTGGAGAGTTGCAAGTACCATGAGAAGAACACACCATTGTGTTTTTAGAACTAATACCGTTACAGACCACGTCTTGACAATACGAACCAGAGTATCCAGCATTACAAGTGCAGTTATTCATACCAACACAAGCTCCTACCGATGAACATACTGTGCTAGAGTTGAAAGGAATAGAGTTACAATAAAAGTATTGACAAGTTTCACCATAATAACCACTTGCACAAGAACAATTATTTGGAGATGCACAACTTCCATGGGATGAGCAAACGTTTGATTGATTATTCAATAAACCATAGCAATAAAACTCCCCACAATTTGGACCAAAGTAATTGGTAGAGCACCAAGGAGTTAGGGTTCTAATCAGATTCATATCATTAATATAAATTTCACCAGTTGAACTAATGGCAACTCCAGTAGGATTAATTAATCTAACACTTGTTGCAAAACCATCACTAATGAAATTAGTGGATCCTATAATTCCATTTCCTGCAATCGTTGAAATAATACCAGTTGTTGTTATTCTACGAATTACATAATTGGAAGTATCAGCAATATAAACTTCTCCACTTGAACTAATGGCAATTCCATTTGGATAATTTAATTGAGCACTTGTTGCCAAACCACCATCACCACTATATCCAGAAAGTCCAGTTCCTGCAATTGTGGTGATATTTCCATCTGTTGTGATTTTACGAATTCTATTGTTAATTCTATCAGCAATATAAACTTCTCCACTTGAACTAATGGCAATTCCAGTAGGACTATTTAAATGAGCACTTGTTGCCAAACCACCATCGCCACCATATGCTGCAAGTCCAGTTCCTGCAATTGTTGAAATAATACCACCTGTTGAGATTTTACGAATTCTATGATTGTTGGTGTCAGCAATATAAATTTCACCATTTGCAGAAAACTCAAAAGTAGTAGCAGAAATATAAGCTGCAGTTGCAGCTATTCCGTCGCCTATACCACCAACTACAGTAAAAATGTTTCCTGATGTAATTTTACGAATTCTATGATTGTTACTATCGGCAATATAAATATCACTAGTTGAGCTAATGGCAACTCCAGTAGGAAAATATATCTTGGCACTTGTTGCCAAACCACCATCGCCACCATATGTAACAACTCCAGTTCCTGCAACGGTTGAAATAATACCAGATGTAGTAATTTTACGAATTCTATGATTGGCTCTATCGGCAACATAAATTTCACCAGTTGAACTAATGGCAACTCCAGAGGGAGTGTTTAACTTGGCACTTGTTGCCAAGCCACCATCACCACTATATCCATTAGTTCCAGTTCCTGCAATTGTTGAAATAATACCAGCTGTGGAAATTTTACGAATTCTATGATTACCATAATCAGCAATATAAATTTCGCCAGTGGAACCAATGGCAATTCCAGTAGGAACGCTTAGTTTTGCACTTGTTGCCAAGCCACCATCACCACTATATCCATAAGTTCCAGTTCCTGCAATTGTTGAAATAATACCAGATGTTGTTACTTTACGAATCACATTATTGTTAGTATCAACAATATACATCTCACCAGTTGAACTAATTGCAATTCCAGAGGGAGTGTTTAATTGAGAACTGGTTGCCAAACCACCGTCACCATTATAACCAGAAAAAGTATTACCGTTTCCTGCAATTCTAGTAGTAAAAGATGTTACCATGTCTAGGTAATTATTACTATAAAGCACATATAATACATTGTTGTAATATTTGGCAAATGTTGGGTTGTTGAATGATTGTACAACAGTTGTAGTACCAATTACGCCAGCAATAGTAGAAAGTGTTTTGGTGGAAAGGTCTATTTGTCTTACTTGATTAGTAGAATCCGCGAAAACAAGATATCCATTACTAAGGGTAGGGGAATTCATTGGTGAAATTATAGCCTTGGAAGCAGGAATATTATTACCAAAAGAAGATGTTCCAGCAAAAGTTGAAATAATACCAGATGTTGTCACTTTACGAATTCTACTATTGTCAGTATCAACAATATATACTTCATCACTTGAACTGATTGCAATTCCATATGGATTGCTTAATTGAGCACTTGTTGCCAAACCACCATCACCATTGTATCCATCTCCATTCCTGCAAAAGTTGAAATAATACCAGATGTTGTCACTTTACGAATCACATTATTGTAAGTATCAGCAATATAAATTTCATCACTTGAACTGATTGCAATTCCATACGGATTGTATAATTGAGCACTTGTTGCCAAATCCCATCACCATCATATCCTGCATTTCCAGTTCCTGCAAAAGTTGAAATAATACCAGATGTTGTCACTTTACGAATTATATTATTGTTAGTATCAGCAATATACATTTCACCACTTGAACTGATTGCAATTCCATAAGGATTATATAATGAAGCACTTGTTGCCAAACCACCATCACCACATATCCTGCATTTCCATTCCTGCAACAGTTGAGATAATACCAGATGTTGTTACTTTACGAATTCTCTGATTGTAAGTGTCAGCAATATAAATTTCATCACTTGAACTGATTGCAATTCCAAAAGGATGATCTAATGAAGCACTTGTTGCCAAACCATCATCACCATCATATCCTGCACTTCCAGTTCCTGCAAAAGTAGAAATAATACCAGATGTTGTTACTTTACGAATTACATTATTGTTAGTATCAGCAATATACATATCACCAATTGAACTGATTGCAATTCCATAAGGACTATATAGTGAAGCACTTATTGCCAAACCACCATCACCTACATATCCAACATTACCATTTCCTGCAACAGTTGAAATGGTTGAAATATTTCCATATGTTGTCACTTTACGAATTCTCTGATTACCAGTATCAACAATATAAATTTCACCACTTGGACTGATTGCAACTCCATAAGGACCATATAACGGAGCACTTGCTGGTGCTAATCCATCACCAATTAAAGAACCACCACCTGCAATAGCGGTGATATTATAAAAGGGTTGGCTTTGTGCATGCGTGATAACAGCGAGAAAGCAGCAGAACACAAATGTACCTAGTAATGTTATTAATTTCATTTTTTTTGGCAAATAACAGCATTGTGTCACGTCAGTCTTTTAAACTTTGGCTGTCAAGTTTAAATCCACGAGAACAAAATTTTTTTCCAAATTTGAAATGAAAGAGCTGCAATAGTATGCTACATATGACAAGATGGGTGCTAAGGCGTGTGGAAGAGTCCATAGCATAACTTTGATGAACATGGAGACTACAAACATTAGTATTACTACCTAATTATCATTGGCATCGGTGTTCAAGATGTTTGTTGTTATTCGGGTAAATGGTATGAGATTGTTATGAACATGTTATGAAGAAAAAGCACCACTACAGTTTAAGAATCGAGCACGGCAACACCTCTACGAATATTTTTTGTTGAATTGAAAATACACTCTAACAGTTTGGTTAAGATCTAAGGCATTTTTTTCAAAATTGTTCTATAAATACAACAAGTTGCTTTTTGGAATGACCACATGATGTCATTATATCCACTAAGGATTGAAACTCTAAAAGAACAGCACTCTCATAGAACAGATGACCAACACAAAAGGCAAACAGAAATAAATTGGAGTTATTGAATTTGGTGTGCCAAATACGACTTCTTAATATATCAGGTGGAAAACATTCTGAACTAACTTTGTGTGAGGATTTGCTGCTAAAAGGTTGAATTCCTTTCAAAGTAAACAATTCAAGTGGCAGAATTAAAAATCTGGCAGTTTACAAAATAATTCATGAATTGTAATTTTTATATTTAATAATCATTTAAGGAGTTCTAATAAATTTAATTAGCAATTTGATATTGAAAATGATTGAAATTTAAATTATGGTGTTTCTTACACTTGATTATTGAGTATTTAAGTATTAGAAATAGGTATTGAATGTTGCGGTAAATCCAACACAAAGGACAAAATAACATGCATGATGTTGACATTATCATTGTTGGAATTTTGTTGATTTATTCGAAAATAATTTCCAATAAATTTTGGATTCTTTTCTAAACTTTACTTTTTAGAGTGCTTGCCATAAATAAATTTCATTGTAAAGTGTGTAAAAAATTAATTATTTTCCAAAGTAAGCGAGCATTGGCTGTAAACGGAGAAGGAGAAGGCGTTGGTGAAGTTATGTGACAGGTGGCGCATCCTGTCAATAATTTCAACTTGAAGAAAAAACCAAAAAACCATTCAACGAACATGCAAAGAGTTGCGTTTTTACTCTTGCTAATTGCATTTTGTTTACAAGTGACAGCTTTGGATGACATTTTCACACAACAAGATATTGGAAATTTCATAGATAAAAGTCAAGTGGAAGAAGTTTATGTTTACGAACGATTACACAGCAACTTGATAACCATCAGAAACAAACTTGACATTTGGCAGGTAAATCAATCATTAACAAACAGCACCAACACTACAAATTACGGAGGTTGCAATCCCATTCTCTTCCAACTTGGTGACTTTAGCAGAGATGGACCAAACGTCATTTATTCGATATGCCCTGACACTTGGCTTTCGACAGCCGTCTCCATAACCTTCCTGACAGCTTACGTCATTCTTCTAATAGTAACTGGAATTGGATTATACATCAAAAGACACTCCCCTCACATCAAGGCAAGAAACATCACCTACATGCTATTGACAATGATTGCAAATCTTGGATTTATTGCTGTGCATTGTTTGAGATTTATGATTGGAAGAAGAATTTTCCCTTGTTCGATATATGTCCTGTCGTTTTTCATTGTACCACCTGGAATTTTGTTACCGAGTGTGTTTAGATTGTGGAGATTGTACTTGATGCATCGATTGAATTTACAAAAGACGAGTGAAGTTTCGTCTCAGAAAGAAAATAGTGCTGGAAATGAGACAAAGGCTACAATGCCAACAGTTCAAAGTACTAGCTCTGTTCCAGCTAAGGTTCTTTCTCCATCCACTCCCAATCTAGAAAAGGATTGTAAAAATCCTGAAACCACTGACAGTACTCAAGATTCCTATTCTGATGATAATAATTCCTATTGGAATGACAATGAACTCGAATTGAAAAAGAATGCAAAAATCCAAATGATTCTCAACATTTTACTGAGCCACAAATTCGTAATTGCCACCTATGTCATCTCTTTCGTATTTCACATTCTACTCTTCATCTTTTTTGGAAGTATCGAAGAGGGAATCAATAGCCAAGATCCTTCCAAACAGAGAGTCTTCATGGGGGAAGGAGGATTCTTTGTGTCCACTCGAGGATGTCTCATATCCAGCACTATAACCATCATTGTGGCCATCGAAGCATTATTCTACGTTGTAATTGAAATTATCTTGTTGATTTTATGTGCAATTATTCCAAGAGATACGTGGTTTATTAAGAGAGAATCAATTGCTTCGACGATTTTGATATTTTTTGCAATTATTTTGTTTGCAATTTGTGGATTTATTCCACAAATTTCCAAGTTGACTGATTTTTTGATACCATATGGATTTATTGTAATGGGATATTCGTTTGTGGAAGTTATAATGTGTGTATTGTGTCCGATTTTGTATTCGAATGGTTTGAGAAGGGAACATTTGGCAGAATCTGAATTGAAACAATTTTTGAGGAATAAGAAAACTTTTAACATTTTGTTGGATTTTGCCAGAAGAAGGTAAGTTTATTATTCTTTCGAATAACTTTCTAATACTTTCTCTTGAAATAGTTACTGTCCTGAATCAGTAATGTGTTACGATGACATTGAAAGATTCAAATTGACAAATAAGAGAAATAGAAAACGAGCAGCTCTTCACATTATCAAAACTTATCTGAAACCTCATGCTCCTCTAGAATTGAATTTCCAAAAATCAGCTCAAACCTACGAACAACTCATTCAATTATTAGAAACCTCGCCAACCATAGACACAACCTTTTTCGATTCAATTCAATGGCATTGTGTAGAGGACATGACAGATGTATTCGAAAGGTTGAAAAATCAATCAAAGAAAACGAGGGATATTTTACAACAGTGGAGAGAGGAAGCAGGAATTGATCAAGTTGGAAATGTGAATAATCAACAACAAGAATTGAAAAATACTATGAAATTGATTGATTCCATGTCAAGTGTGCCATCAACACCATCTGTTGTTACATCTGAAGCGTCGAATGGCGTGGCCATGGATTCAACAAATTCTGTAACATTGGAAAAAGAAGTGAAATCACCAGAGAGTAATTTGTAATTTCATTTTCAGCTCAGAACTCAGTTCTCAAAGCAAAATACCATAGTGATGAAAATAAATGATGGAATGATGAAAAATATTCAAAGTTTATTTAAACTTGTGATTCACCATTATTTTCATCGTCACCAACAACAACAGCAACACATTCACCACACAACTTGTTCTTGTTGAGTAGCTCTTGTGTGGAAATTGTTTGTTCTTCAACAACGTTCTACTTCCTTTGGTTGTTCTGTCATTTCAACAACAACAACTTGTTGATTAGTAGTGGCAGCAACCTTTTCTTCTGGTTTCAGATGTGGCCGTAAGGATTTCTGGCTGGGGTATTCCAGGAAGGAGTTTCTTAAAAAAATCTTTCCTGGAAAATCCAGTAAGCAAAATAAAAATGGAAGCAATACTTCCTTAATAGTTTTGAGTCCTAAGCCAATTGCACAGTTTTGAGCCTCAAAGACATCGAAAGAATATTCATAGTAAACTCAACAAAGATGTATCTTGCATTCATAAAAAATATCAATTTTATGAGTAGCTTATTTTCGGAGTGGTTCTTCATCTTCCCACTCCAAGAATTGAACCTCATCATCTATACATCATCAATATAATAGTAATAATAGTAGTTTTATGTGGAAGTTTATCGTTATGGAATTAGATAGTAATTTTGATATTGGAAAAATTCAAGTTGGTGAATCATCATCATGGGGTTTGGTTAGGATTCAGAGTTGATTTATTTGGGTTATTTAAGAGATTACTTAGTGAAGATTTATATCATTGATTATATTTATTATCATCTATTAATGATGTTAATTTGATGGTTTCATTTCTTATATTGATAGATATTTAAAGGTCAGGTCAGAACTAACTTTTGTATTATGGACTTTGAGAAGTCAAATGTTTGGGACGTGAATCTACTCATTGGATTGAATAGGTATTGCTAATAAAGGAACATTTCATTGATTTATTGATTATAACGGTCAAATTGAGTTGAATGTAAGTGAATCACATGTTGATTCATCGTGGATGGGTAGTTTCGCCACGAAGTGGTGCAACTACCAACCTTTGTAGATTGAATCAGGTTGATTTGCATGCAATATGAATAAGTAACATTATCAAGAGTGATTATTCACCAATTCAATAATCAATATTCAATAATCGGTTTGATTTCAATCAATAGCTTGCTCATCAAGCTTTGAATTAATATTCCAGTAATTAACGGCAGTCTATTTTTAAATTTAATCAAAGACCATATATAGTAGCTTGACTTTTATGATCTGGAAACTATCTAGATGTGTTTCTTTTTTGAATAATCTATTTGAAAATGAGAAGAATTAACTCTTCTATTGAGTTTTATTGGTATTGCAAGGTATTACGATTATAATAATCTACACAGAAATCACTCTTAAATATAAACTGTACTACAATGTATGAGAAACATAATGGTGGTGGAATTAATCAATAACTCGTTGAAATGACTGAGATGGAATGTAAACTATGGTCTGTTTGTTATGTAGTGGTGACTAGACAGTGTCAATTTCATCAAATTATTTCAAACTGATAACATTCAATAAAATACCATTTACCTTGACACTAACGTGTCTAAGGTTGTAATCAATAATTTTTATGGTTGATAGAAATTATTCTAAAACATTGCTCAAAAAATTAGACCAACATGTCCTCTCCACAGAATCAAGATAATCCAAATCTTCATCAAGAAGATCAACATATGGATCAACAACAACCTCAACAAACAGGAAACCAACTTAATGTACCAACTACACACCCTCCAAACTATGGAAATTCTGCTCAACACCTTAACCAACCGACATTTGTACCTCAAAGTCTACCGCAAAGCCATCCTCAAAACTTTCCTTTCGGATTTCCCTATATGAACCCTTATTACCCTCCTACACCTGGCTTTGGAGCATATTATCCATCCTATCCATCCTATCCACCTCAACACTTTCGTTCACCTCTTGAAATGAAGAAGAGAAAGTTGGATGAGAAAGACAAGAGTTTGTTTTTGGAGCACGATGAGGTTGATTCTACATTGAGTTCTGTTGAAGAAGACACACCTCAAGTTGTCAACAATGAGCGTTCCTTTTTATTATCCTTCATTAAAGAGAAGGGTTTAACCATCTCTGAGGATATAAATGATATAACAGACATCGCACTCACCTACATTGTCGAGAATGCGTATGTTAATAAGTTTCTTAGTGATCCTAAATTTAAAGAATTAATGCATGAAGGTTTGATGAAATACTCTACTTCTTTGAAAATATGCATACCTACATTAGATTTATCCCTCTTCAACTCAAGAGTAGTCAAGATACTTATGGAGTCCTATGACATTCTTGAAAGAATATCCGTTTGTATACGGAAAACCACAAGCTGCTCTTCAAGATTAGAATTAACTGGTCTATATCATGGTATCACTAAGATGACCAAGGGTTATGTTTTATCATCCGTGATAAAAAGTGGTAACATGGATGATGGTATCTCTCTTATTGAAAAGATTATCAGTTACGTTAACCTAGATCCTTTTTTAAGCGAAGATATCGATCGTGAAAGAAAGAGTAGACTGGAAGTCACAACCAACCAATTTATGGTTAGTCATATGAAGACAGCTAATAACTCCAATTCTAAGGCTACAGGTTCCAAGGATAATAAGACAACCTCTGACAAGAAGAACAATAAGAGTGTTGGCAAAAAACCTCAGAACCAGCCAACATTTCAGAAGTGAATTTCTGGGGGGACAGATTTCTCTCTTTTGGGAGAGATGGAGAGACAGACAAGTTTCTCCAACTGTGCTGGATTGGATCAAGAATGGTGTAACAATTCAATCCGACTGTTCCCGATGGAAGAACTTCGGTTCAAACTCCATCAAGAAACACCAAGAAACCTGGCTCGACAACGAGCTAGA